CCGTTTGAAGTGAAAAGACAAGATGGTGGATCTCAGGACAGCACCACAGCACTGGAAAGTGCTAGGGTCTGCTAACAGGACTAGTAAATGTAACCTGTTGCCCCTCTGAAGTGGCTACAAAAGAAAACCTACTAGAAAATAACCCAAGGCTGCAGAATAACACTTCTCGTTTCTTCCAGCTGTTGAAATACAGACTTGCAGATCACTAAAATTGTTCCAGCCCTGATTACAGCTGCTTCTTGTAATATTTCATAAAGTGACTGCCAATCCTCCCATGTGAATGTAAAGTGTAAATCTGAAGAGTCAAATAAAAATACATACAAAGTAATGTCAGTGCAGAACATCTCCTTGCTAATGTGCAACAGCAACCATCTGGTGTACCAGCATTGGCCTCAAAGTGCACAGCAATCTGCTACTTAGGGCCTCTTTCAAATGCAGCACCACAGAGTACTTTTTCTTGCTATTAATGCAGAATTTTGTCTGTAACATTACATTGACCTGCGCATCTTGGAAACCTGTTGATTTCCCACTTTCCTCTCACCTGCCATGTATGGAAAAAGCTAACGCTACAAAATGGGAGAAGCCAGATGCTCTAACATCAGTAAAAAGGACAACTGACCTGGTATTTTGTTTTCTGTACTCGCAGAAAGCATCTTTTTAAATTATTTGCGAGAGATCAAGGACAAACCAGACACACGACCACCTGTAATGACTCCCCGGATGTGCCCACAGCGGAACGGCCGGCGAGCCTGCCACACAAGTAGGGGTTGAGCAGCAGTGCCGAGGGGGCAGCTGCGCTGAGGCAGGCTCAGAGCACGCAGGCACAGTCTCCAGTGGGTCTGCACCGCTCCTGCAGCCTCCGTCTTCACAGGCTGGCAGGTTACCCACGCTGGGTAGTGCATATACATGGCATGCTTCCCAAAAGCTGCTGTCAGGCCTGTGATGGTTGTTGAATAAATGCAGTCTTAAAGCTGTATCCACTGAAGGACTAAATTTTATATAAAGGAATCAGAGGGCACTGGGATCCCAAGACCCCCTTCAGCAGCAGGCTGGGAGGTGCCTTCCTCTCTGCTGTATGAGCAGTGCACTCTACCGTCCGGAGCTAACACTGCAGAGGCAAGCTTACTGCTCCCACACATTTTCCAAGAGAGCACGTTTCCCGTTTTTAATGTTAACAGCAACAAACTCACCAGTTTATATTAACTTCTTATTAACCTAAAAACCAGTCCTTTTGAAATTTGTAAACTAGGATGAAGGTTAAATAATGACTAAACGCTAGCTCTTCTTTTCCCAGTGCTCACGGGACACTGTCTAGTTCCACACAGATGACCATCAGGTCTGGTGTTGCATCACTAAGGTTTGCTCGCTCTGCAATCTCGCAGAGTAGATTCAGGTAGTTAGTTGTCTGCAGCAAGTGGGATATCCCAGATCTTTCCCTTTTGGCCTGAAAAGCCAGGAGGTGGTCCAGCAGCATTCCATGCCCATCCACCCACCATCTAGCAAATGGGGAGACCTTTCTCTTCAGGACACGTAGGGAGGCAAAGGGAGAAGGTAGGACAGACCTGCATTCCCATTTCAACAGGCATTTCAGGTTCCCACATTCTCACAGACAAGCCAAAGAAATTCCATGTCCTTTGCTTCCTCCTCCTACCTTGGTTGCTGTTTGTGGCAGATGATGATATTTTACATTGAATCACAAAAGTGTATTAGGGTTAGGCATTCACTGTTTAGCTTTGGGGGTGTCTTTCCCAAGCTATGATTCAGCCGTGCTATTGCACGGTGTATTGTTCTGCACTAGGTTCTCCAGAGATTCCTCCTCCTCTCAGGTGTTGCACATGGAACTTCAGCACCTAACTCATGTCCTAGATTACAGTTTTCAGGCCTATGGGCTTAACCTCTTTTTTGGATTAGGCTTTCAGGAACCATTCTGATCGTACCACTATAGTTGAACAAGCCTTCATTATTCAGCCAATGTGGAGAAAAGGAGTTAGGAAGGTGCGAGACACAGTTAAGTGCACAGATACAAGCACACGGGAGTGCCCATACAAACCTGAAAAGCACTGAACTTTGGATCAGTCTTTTCCACAGTAACAGGAGTTAGGCTGAAACCTAGTGTTGTGATGTCTATAACAGGGTTGGACTAGCTGGGAGATGAAGATATCCTTCAGGTCCATTTCACATACTTACTGTAGAACATGAACACATAAATGATGAAAAACCTGTTCCTCATGGGCTGCAGGAAGTGATGCTGCGGACTGCATCCAATCCCTCCCTGCTCATGGACTAAGGGGATCCTACAAGGAAAATCTTGGAAACAGTTAACTTCAGAAACAGACTAGAGTTCAACTCAAATGATCACAACATGCTGCTAGATGGGCCTTCACCTTGACCAAATCTCACAACAAACTTTTTTTCATAAAAAGCAAGCAGCTCTTCCATCATGCATGAAAGCCACAGGTTGAGGTTGAATCTGCTCTACTGCTCCAGCCTCTGTGTCTATTAAAACGATTAGACAGACCAACAATAATCTGCTAACGCAAAAGAATATAGATTACTATCCTTTGACTAGCAACCTTCAGTTTTGAACAGTTTTTGCCTCTTTCTGAACCCTTCCCTTTCTGATAGGCAGTAGAGAGCACAACCTGCATAGCTGAGCTTGACTGATACAAAGGTGTTCATTTCCCACAAAACTCGAATAGCCCACCTTCCACTAATTTACTTCTTACTAAGGTTACCTACTAAACAGGACAGTGCATAGTGCAGTCCTCCGTTCTAACAGCCAAAAACATTTAGGTTTTTAATACTGACTTACTTCTGTTGTCCACTCAGACAGAAAGCACGTGAAAGAGGAACATATTCTGGCCACTTGACAACCTAGCCCTTTCCTCTCACCGTGCAGCAGCTCTTCCTTCAGTGGCCCTCCTCATTCCCCACGCTGCATCCCACAGCAAATGTATATGAAACACTTCTCATACTGCTCCATGCCCTGTTAACCTGGGATTCTGTCATCTTTTCCTACGTTTCTGCAAAATCAAAGACCTTGCAACACTGCCAAGTGGCCTTACAACTCCTCCTCCAGCGTTCCAGTAGGACAAGTAGGGTACTAGGGAAAAGCATAAGGTGATGACATTACTCCTTGCCATGTTCTCTGAGCAAGTAAGATATTAGAGACTGTTGTTCCAGATATCGAAGAAAAAAAAAAAAACAAACAACATTCTGTAATGTATTGAGAAAAATACAGTTTTATAAATTTAGAGGTAAATCAGCAGGTGAGAACCCTGTTACTTGTTGCCAAACTAATCCCAGCTCTAGGGAACAAAGTAAAGGGAGGGGTTGCCCATGAAGGCTGTGTGAAGGAAAGAGTCAAGGGGTTTTGGAGAGTAGGTTTATAGGTAGGAAACTTTGGGAAAGCAGCTGTGAATTATTCACGTCCGAAACATTTCTGGCCAGTAGTTGATGTACGTTAGCAGCAACCACCTGGTGGTAGAGCGCCGTGACTCGGACTAGCAAATGCCTCTCACGGGCGATGGAGCGGGCCGGCAGGACTGGCCCAGGGGCTCTGCAGAGGTTTGTCACCTTCGGGCAGAGACAACCCCTAGAGCCCAGCAAAGGTGTAAAGCCACAGCATCTCTGCACTACGCAGCATCCAAAGCACACCACCTCTGCTCCTTTTACAAGCTGAGAGGTTGTCTGACTTTCACATGGAAACACTACATAAAAGGGATTTTACTGCTCACCATTAGGATTTTAATTCTTATAGGATTACAAACTGAAAACGTAGAAGCATAACGGGAGTTACTAAACACATCCTCCTCTTCAAGCTTTTATTTTTTTAGTATCAATAATGGTGGCTTACACTCTTTCAACAGTCCTGAGTGAAAGAATACTACTCAATACTGTTTCATAATTTCAGACTGAAAACCCCAATTAGTCTTGTGATAGAAAGGCAGAGAACTAAGTGAGTCATGCATGCACGTGAAAGGGGAAAATGTGTGTGAGAACCTTACTGGCCAAAATTATCCTGACAGAATTCCAAATTATGCTGAAATGCACCATGACAGTTCATCCTTTTACAGGAGAGAGAAGGAAATACTGTGGAGAATCTGCTATAAAACTGATCCCAGTCCAGTGAAATATTTCTGTGCGAACAATGAATGCATTATAAATTGAGGAACATTCACAAAACACCACAAGCTGGGAAGTAAGAGGGATATTATTACTAGCATCTTTGTTTTCCAAAATGTGCATTTGCTGTTGATCTTTCAACTTCTTCTGTATCTTGTCATATAAACAGTGTTCTGTGGAGAACCGTATCTGTGATCTCTCAAAGTAAAATTTTACGGGTCATATTCAATTGCTCATACTGTCCTTTTACTTTTCTTGGCATGGTAAGTCAGGAACAGATTTGGTTCTAGCTCACCTTTTCACCATCAACCAAGAATTGATAGGATTCCTCAATTTTTGAGACAGGTGGCATAAAACATGCCAAAACCTTAAATTATCAACGTTTTCGAAACAAAGCACCAAGATAGATGGAAGCAAAGCATGTGCCTAATATATCCAGAAGAGGCCAAAATTACATTTGGGGGAAAAAAAAGTCATTGTTACATCACAGCCCGCTTTCCAAACTGTAAATGGTTACACCCTGCTATCGTGCATCATATACAACTTCAGAATTGGTGCTGCCATGTCAGGAGCATGTCAGGTAAATACAGCATTTTCTCAGCCCTGTGCTCCAAACTTGCTCAGGGAAGCTGTTGCAGTTTCATCCCAAAGCTGCAAGTGATCTCAGTAAGGCTGCTGGGGAAGATGTTCAGAGGCTCAAGTCTGTTCTCACGACTTTCCGAGATGGTCCCAGGCGAGCCCTGCACCTCTGCAGCCTCCGGGATCACCCAGAGAAACTCACCGTAAGAAGCAGAACTGGTATTAGCAGAATTTATTAAAAAACAAACAAACCAACAAACCAAAACCAAACCAAAACAAAAATAAACTAATGCTCATGCAGGCAATCAAAGAGTATTTACTTTATTAGAACTGAGATTGCTATGAACATGCAAGGGTGTTTCTTATCAATGATTTACAGATTTCAGCAATGGTCCTTCCTATCATGTAAGAAATGAAGCTCCCTGGGTATCCACAGACTGTTCAATCAGATTTCCCATTGTGTTTTTCAAGCAATTGACCTTTTCAGTAATGAGAAGGCTACAATTCCAACTGTGGATAATCCAACTACATTCTCTATGATAAGCTCTTTACACACAGTCATGAGATAAAAAGTACATATTCATTTTTATTCATTCAGCTATTAACCTGTCCAATACTTTTACAACTGGATTGCAAAAAACAGGTATGCTCTGTTCCTACCTGTTCCAGTACTGTAAAACTACCTCTAGGAGTGAATGAGCATACAAAGGACTGAATTCTTACAGCACACTACTCATGCAAGGTACAGAGGCTGTTACCTAAAAAGATCTCATTGTTTCTGTTAAGTGTTTCTTAGTACAGAAATACTCTGAAGCGTAAAAGGTATCAGTTACCATAGCATCTCACAGACAACACCTTATAATTGACAACTGCACTTTTAGCTTAACTCAAATTTACATTTCAATGTGGACAATACCACTATTAAATCACTGACCTTCTCACAAGCTCCAATATCACGTATTTAAATGTTTTATATAGTTTGATTTTTCTTCCCCATGGAGGACTTTGAAACAATCTGTGAGAGAGTACAGAAACGGCTTCAGTAAGAAAACTACAAACTTCATTTGCTGTTACTGAGCTTCCAATGTCTTTACGAAGTACTTCTGTACAAAATCTCTACACCTCTCACAGAGATCTAACATTATGCTTTCCCTCAACACTAACAATATCCAAAAATAGTTTATTTTGCAATTATAATCCATTTTTAACTTATTTACCCAAGAATGAGGTTTCTTCAGTACGACGTAACAGATGTAAATGATGTTGTGTGTCATCCATCAGTTACAAAAAAAAGCATTTAGCAAAACATTTTCATACCACTAACTGCATCTTCAATAACCCCGCTTTTGCTTTTCTTCTTTATCAAGAATAGTCTGTTTTAGACTCAGTGCAGCATCTTCAAAGTGGGGGTTTAACTCTAATACTTTCCTGAAATCTCTCATGGCCTCATCAAAGCATCCTGTCCCAAAAAAAAAGAAAGGAATAATTATCTTTCTGTAATTGCTCAAATTCAAAAACCACAATGGAAGAATACCTCTGAGTACTTTCACTAACAACAAGTAGCAGCTGTACTTACTGGACTCATTACTACTACATCTGGAATCGCCAGAGACCCAAGTGGGAGTCAAAAGTTGTCAGAGCAAGAACCAGAATGCGTATTTTTAAACCTAAAATGGGCGTATGGCTCAACTCAGCTAGTTTATTCCACAAGAAGGATCCAAAAGGCTCACGCTCAGTCAAGCAATAGCCAGGCTGCCTTAAACCTGGCACACACCGGCATACTGCTTCGAGCTGGTGCCCTTGGTCAGGCTCCATTCTCCTGGCCCTCTTTAGGCCCTCAACTTCTGGGTCTGGACTTTGCAAAGGCTGAGCTCCAACAACAGGAATGGGCGTGACGTTCCCTTATGGCGTATTAAAAACCTGGGCAGTAAATCGCCTGAACAGCCCACTGCAATGGATAAGGCTGCGCTCACTATGTCTGCACCTAAGAGATGTTTTTACCTCAGGTTTAAGGGCAATGTTTGGAACTGGCTAGTTTTACCCCTAATGCAATTTATTCCAAAACTCTAACTGCATCTTTCCCCCTATTATTCCCTGAAGAGTATCATTTCAAAGGACACAGCTGCACACCTGCAAGTAGGGATATATAACTGCACACACAGGGCAGACTCCTGGCTGAAACATCCCAGGACTGAGAAAAACGTGTTTCCGCCCGCACCCTTTCTCTCCCCCACTCGTGCCAGGCACGTCCCTCCGCCTGCGAAACGGAGGCAATTACCCTCCGGCGCCGGGTGAATCCCGGCACAACGCCGCGCTCTCGGCCGCCGCTCGGGTGTCCGGGTCGCCCTGCTCGCCCCGCCCCGGCTCACCCGGGGCCCCGCGGCCCGGCCCGTACCCAGCCGGTAGAGCACCAGGCCCCGGTTGTAGTAGGGCACCTCGAAGGCGGGCAGGCACTCGATGGCGGCCGTGTAGTCCTCCATGGCGGCGGCGAACTCCACCCGAAGGTACCTCACCCGGCCGCGGTCGTTGAGGGCCGTGGCGAGATCGCGGCGGGCGCTGCGCGGCGACGGAGGGCGAGCGGCCGTTCCGGCGGGCCCCGCGCCCCCCGGCCCGGGCACGTTCCCCGCCCAGCGGGCGATGCAGCGGCTGTACAGCTCCTCCGCCGCCGCCAGCCGCCCCCTCGCCGCCTGCGCCTCTGCCGCCGCCAGCAGCCCCGCCGCCTCCCGCTCCTCCATGGCGGCGCCGCCGCCGCCGCCGCGGTGACGTCACGCGCGGTGACGTCACGGGCGCGGCGGCGGCTGCAGCAGGAGCCCCGTGCCTGGAGGAGGGACAGGGACGGGCGGACGGAGGGCTCCGCCGAGGACCCGCCCGGCCCTCTAATACACATCGCTACAAAGGAGAAAGAAGCTCAAATACCAGGACTGAAAAAAGAAAAAAAAAAAAAAAAAAAAAGTAATATTTAATATTTTTATATACAAACCCGGGGTTTATTCTCACCCAGGTTTAACCGAGAGGCACTGCTTGCCGTGAAAGATGGCGCAGAAGAGGCCTCGCGCTCTCAGGAACCTGATGCACGACGTCACGTCACAGCGCTGGCTGGTCGCGAAGCCGGCGATAAAACAGAGCAGCACAGCTCTGAGTAAAACAGCGTTCCTTGAACCCTCCTGTGTAACAAGGGTGGCAGCTCAACTCCTGAAATCTGCTCAACAGATGCCAGCTGCTCTCTTCAAACTACTTAGAAAAATAGCATCTCGTTACCCGATTGCAATCTGAAGGTTCACAGAGGTTTCCTTAACTGGTTGGAGACATCACCAAAGCTCAAGCGCCCAGATGCAGACTGGCGGCACTGATTGCTCTTTGTAAGCCCTTTATTGCTCTGGTGGGTTTAAATACACTTGGCAAAAGAAAACAGCACAAATGTATGACTAAACTGGTACCATCGCTCTAGTAAAACAGTAGTAAGAAAAACATATACAGTAATGTTACCAGAACTACTGTGGCACTATTTAAACTCATGAATTACTTCCTTGAAAAACCTGTGAACCTTGAGAAAACCCAGTAATTTCCTGTGGAATTGCAAAAACAAAATGGAGCTTGCTCCAAGTGAAATGTATTAAGATGAACCTTAGTTTCAATTCACAGGGCTTTGAAACTAGGCTCCATTTACAATTAGAATACTTCTACCTTACACCTTTGTAAAAAAAAAAAAAAAAAAAATGTAACCAAAAAAGTTGAGTCTATTCACACAGTTGTTTCTTCACATAAATGGAACTAGTAAAGGTTTCTCTTGTGGGTTTTCTGTTGTTTTGGGTGGGGTTTTTTTTTGTTTTGGTTTGTTTTGTTGTTTGGTTTTTTTTTTTTAATGTTTCTCTAATAGTGGCACTATCTGTTACAACACAGTACTTGAGTTGTATTATAAAATATAGTACATCAGTAATATTTTAGAGAGTATTGTTAGGAGACATAACAGATAGGAGGATAAATAGTCCTTTATCCTCTGCTATGCTTTACTGTGGCACAGAGGACAGAAGTTGTAATTGCTTGCTTCTTTGGCTTTCATACAGTGCTTACATACACTGCACATCCAGAATCGATACTCCAGGATAGGGTCTCCTGTTGCAACACATATAGGAAGTTTCCCATCTCCACTATTTAAAAAAAAAAAAAGAAAAAACATGGTTTAAAGATAGCAACAAATTTTCTAGACATTTGCAAAACCACTGTAAATACCTGATTGTGTGTCTACAGCTAGGTTCAAAATTTGTAATTACCATCTGTAAAGTACTGCTTCTTTATTCAGATGTGCACCACTTTTCGACTAGAAGCTATTAAATCACATAGTACTTCACTGTTAACATAGCCAAGTATGCAAATCTTCACACAACAGAATGCTCACCCCCAGAACCACATAGTAAACAAATCAGGACCAGCACATCCAGAAAATTAAGTGACAAGAAGCAGTGAAGGCCATATAAAGAGAAGGTCCAATTAGACACCTGCACTAATATTATATTTATTCCTCTGCAGAGTGAACATGAAAACCATTAGCGAGATTCTGCACATCTGCACAGTAAAAATCAAACAAGACAAGTTAAAATCCTATTCATTAAAAATGTGATTCACAATCAATTTCCATACTCAGCAAATTCCATGCTGTTAGCGGGAAACCTGTGTCAGACACCACTGTGGGTACAGCCACTCCAAGGACTTGCCCCTTAAGTGTAATCTTCATATTCTAATTCTTTCACTTGACATACTCATCTTCTCACACCACATAGATTTAGGTAATTCACAAAACACTGGAGACTTACTGGTTAAGCACTCACTTGTCAACATTTGCATCACACCACAATGGTGATGCAAACAGTACCATTATTATTTCAATGGCACATGACACCTTATCAAAGGTCCTAAAACTCCTGTGCTCTGTCCATGTGCATTTCAGATTAAGATGAAGTTACATCTTTATGCCCAGTTCCTCAAATATAGTAACTGTCTATTCTCCCAAATAAAACAGTGTAGTATTAACCTTTCTGCAAACTGGCTAACACCTGCATCATTTTTGCCCAATATTTGGTTTAAACAGCAAAGCAGCTAAGTAACTTGGTCACACAAAACCTGCTAAAACCCAAAATACAGACAATAGCAGAAAAAGATGCTAGTGTTATTACAGTATCACATAAATATAAACCCACCTCTCAAGAACAGCATCCAGATCAGATTTTTTGTTATACTTCGGACAATGTCTCGTGAATATCTCTAGAGCAAGGTCTTCATACTGTTGCCTCTGTTCTGGCCTAAGAGTTTCCAAGGACTCCAGTTTAACAAAGGCTTTTGAACAAATATCAAATGCTCGGTTCGCACATGCACAGAGTGCCAAAAGGGAATAGATTTCAACTGCTGGGATAATGTCTTCATAATCTCGCAAATGAAGAGCTAAGAAATTAAAAAAAAAAAAATCCAAGGAAATTATTACGTCTTCTGAGAAGTGCAAGCATCTGTATGAAGTATTTGCTACTAGTAGACAGTATTAATCTTACAAATCAGACACAATGAACCAACGTCTTTTAATTGACATGACAATGAAGCATGTGTGATTCAACACTTTTTAAAAATAAAATTAAGGGGATTTAACAGGGAAAGTTTGCTTCGCAAACTCTCTCAAGTTTTTTATGAAGCTCTACAGGGAGATGTGATGTGAATTCAGGCATGCCTTATAATTTAAAGAAAGAAACAAAACAGTCAACATCTACAGAGATTGTCCAATTTAACCAGGTGATATATGACAAGTTAGATTTGCACTGTCTTCAAGAAAATACTTTTCAGGTATCTTGACTGCAGCCATATTCAATTCTTTATATGTTTTTGTTTTAAATTCCATGGATCTAGCAAGAATAGAAAAATGTGCCAACTATAAATGAAATTATGTGATGTGCAGGTCTGTAAAATTAGAACAGTTTCTTTACAGGGTTAAAAATGAAGTCCTACCTGTTTTAAGTGCTGCATCTACAGAACCTTTATAGAGCTGTCTTTGTGCAAGTATGAAAAAATGGTAAGCCTCAGCTCCTCGCCAAGCATTGTCTGCAAAGCGATTAGTTGAAGAAAGAACATCTTCTTCTAGCAAACCAGCCAAAGCTGAAGCAGTCTGAAAACAAAGCAGTATCACAAGTAATTTTTATATGAAACAGATACAGCAGGAAATGGGGATATATGAAAAGAACTTTTCTGTACTTGGTGATTACACCACTGTCTGTGTTAACTAGGGAAAATATAAATACATGGACCTAAACTGAACATTATTAGGCATTTTATACAGTGCATAGGCAGAACATATGGTGCAGATTTTCAAGGATAAGTATCATATACATGTGTACAAATATATTCTGTGCACATCTGCAGACTCGTTCATAGTTTGGATTAATATTGCATTTCAACACCAGATCTCTTAAAACTTTGTTTAAACTATTTCGTTTGTGCATATGAAGATGAAAGTGTCAGCAGGAAAAAAAAAAAAAAATTTCTTCCATTTGCTTCCCCCATATCTGGAGCCATCTCCCTGCTAAATTATAGCCAACATTGCTTAATCTAATCACAGATCTCTTTGGGATTGATACTTACTTGTAAATGACAGGAAAGTGAGAGTCTCACAGGAAAAAAAAAAAAATAATCTGGAGTTTCTTAGTATGACTTTCCTTGTTATAGTGAAAACATTAAGAAAAAACACATTAAGCTTAGGAAGGAAAATACTAATACATATGATATAAATGTTTAAAAATAATACTTTAAACAGTATGTTTTTGTTTTCACGGAAGACTTGCTTTAAGGAAAGCTTTGTTCTTAGCAGGAAAATGGGTTATTAAAAACACATAATAGCCTCACATGAAGATAGTTTTATTTATTCTGACTAGGTAGCACATACCAGAATTCAGAAAGAAATAATAATAATAAAAAAAAGACACTCTACCTCTGAACTTTTTTCTTTAACTTTTCCCCTTTGTGCATTTTGCATTTGTTCATGACACTGTTCTATAAGTAAGGCTGATAATACATAAAGCTTTTTAACTCGCAGTGGCTTTGTCCTTTTCTTTGACTCCTCATCTGCAATCTTAAAACACAAAACCAAGGAATTTAATGTAGGGTTTAAAAAAAAAAAAAAGAATTATAGGAGTTGCATCATTCACTTGGACAACTGTATGCTTCTACAAACCCAGGAAGTCATGCCAAAAAAACGATTTTGCATTTAAATGTAATAATTCAGACTGCAAACAGAACTATACATGAAAATGTCAAAGTGAAGAATGCACATTATTCTATATTTATTTAGCTAACAAGTATACAAAGCCAGATTCTTAGGAAGGATAAATCAGCGTAGCCATGTATAAGTCTATTGACTTATTATAAAAATAAACTGAAAAATAGTGATTTTTAAACACTGAAGTTTAAGAAATACATAAGCTTTCACTAAGGTCTGGTGGTTTTCCCAGAAAAGAAGAATGGCTTTTGAAAGTAACATACATATATTATTTTTTTTACTATAAATATTTGCTGTAAAAATTACAAATCACTCTTACAGATTTTATGAGCTATGTACAGAAATCTCTACAGCCAAACCAAATCTAAGCAACATCTTTATCTTAAAAGCACACCACAGCAGTTTCTAATTGAAGGTATTAATTGAAGAAATATCAGCATTTAACTTCTAGTTAATAACATTACTATTTTTAAAAATAGAGGAGTTAAAACCAATCCATACAACGTATAAAATAATGGGGGCATTGCACCCAGGCTGGTCTACTATACTCCTTTACTAGGCAATGCAGGGCAACAGGGCCTTTTCTGAGATGTAGCTCATCTCATTCTGAAGTGAAAGTCTCAAAATAAATCATATGGCCTGTGCCCTGAAAGTCTCCTCTCCACTGGCTGCAGAGGACATCCAGGGTAACTATTTCCGACAGAGATACCTGAATTTAGGAGTTGGATTCATCTTTGCAGTAACCTGTATAATAACATTTGCTTGTTGCCTAGACACTGTTAACACTAAAATAACCCCAAGAAAATAAAAGTGGCATGGAAATAACAAGAGCTAGTCCAAAAATCCAGTTATTTGACATAAAAATGAAACCTGCAATACCTTGAACATGAGCTTAGCAGCTTCAAAGAAATAATTGGCTTTTCGATAGAGTTCTATAGCATCAAGGATTTTATTCTTTTCCAGTAAATGACTTGCGTATCTGGCTAACAAGGATCCAATCTCTTTCATATTGTGATTTTTAGCCAGCTCCACAGCTTTATTCCACTAGAAATGAAAGCAGACAATTACCAACCTCATTTTTTCAAATAGATTCTCAGAACAAGCTGGTTATCCATGAACAGTCTGCAACATTTGCGTGCAATACTTCATCGCCAGTTAGAACCAGGCTACTACAAAATTCAAGTAAAAAGCAAGAGAATACAAATGCTAACATCGTGGCAAATCATGTGATACAGAAGGCCTGTGAAACAAATGCTGAACCTCTGTCCAAAACCACATTCAAAGCAGTTGCTTCTGCTTTGGTAAAAGCTTTGCAAAATCACTTCATTGCTGCCCATAGTTGGACACACGGATTTTAACACTTCTGATATTACTAAATCCCAGACTCTTAAAAACATGTCTAAAAGAGCACTTCAGTCTGGCTACTGTGTTTGCCCCAGATCAAAAGTTTGGCAGGATTAAGAAACTCAGCTGAATCTCATACCTAATAGCCCTTCCGATCCATAAACTAGGGAATTGTTCACATAAGGCCAGCACTACCCAGTCCCATACATCAAGTTGCTCATAACCATTTTCAGTTTCTCTTATTTGTGCTGACACAAATGTTTACACAGGTGGGTCATACTGGGGAACAGCTCTAGCTATAAAACAGATCATTTTTGAGATCAGTTCTTTTCTAGCTACATCCTAACACAGCAGCAAATACATCTGCATCTGTACAAGGAAGGAGAGGGATGTGGAAAATGAACAGCCAGAAGCTGACCTGTCCTCCCATCCCATCAGGAGGCAGCACAGCCTGGCTCTGCAAAGGCCACGAATGTCTGTATGCTGAGCATGCTTACCACACACACACAGAAGTAGCACGGCTGCATATAGCTTTGTCCTCTAATGGTCTAATCCTAATTTCAGATAACTCGCTTAAGCGTTAAAATATGAATTTTTCAGAAATCACAACGAATCATCAGACACTTAACAAGGACTTGTATTTAACTGGGCATTAGGATAAAAATCTAACTGTTAAATTGGTATAATTAAAGCAGATTATCTACTGCTCTTTTACCTGGTTGAGATGTACACAGGTATCTACGGCGTCCTTTGGTCGATTACATTTCAGAAAGGCTGACACAGCTTGTTCACACATCCCCACTCTTACAAACATATAAGCTATATCCTGCAAAAAGCATCAGCACCACGTTAAATTAATTTCGTATTTTTAGTATGTTGTATAGCAACTGGAATAGTATTATATTATTGTTTAATAAGGTGTTGTTTGCTTCATGGATTTTGTGAAGACAACACGCAATGTTGTAAAACTTTAGAACAGCGTGCTACTTTCACACATTGTTTCTAAATGAAAAAACAAAACAAACAAACAAAAAAACCCCAAACAAACAAAAAAACCCAAACCCTCCTCAACTATTTAAATTTTTCTTTCAAATCAAATCATACCAGAAGGACAGTGTTCTTAGAGTAGTTCACAAAACTTCACTATTAGAAAGAGGTTAAAAAGAAAGTGCTATGCCTTGTTTTGTTCAAACAACTGAAAATGGCATTCAATGAGCATTATTTTGCATTTTTTGAAAGCATTTTGGATTAATAATTCATATCATAGTACTAAATAAGCTATTACTTATAAGTAGGTAATTTCAGGCTACACCACCTACTTTTCCTTTCAGCAGAGTATCTTCTATTTTCATTGTACATTAGTATTCCCACCAGAGCAACCATGAAAGAAATTAAGCCAGGGATAGCAATCAGGAAGAATTTGCGGCAGAAAACCCCTGTGTAGACCAGATGACAAAATGAAAGCTAAAGGAAGTGTCCAGCTATGAGGAGTGACTTCTCAGTGAAGCATAGCTATTTTAGAAAGAAATGCCAGAATTTGGGGAGGGAAGCAGTGAATTATGACTTAACCATGTGGCCATGAAGTGTGATGGATAATAATGGAAAAGAACACTTGAGTATGAAAACAACAGTAAAAATAGAGATCAATATCAAAAATAACACCAATATGCTTAAGTGAGTAGCTCATATACTACATTCTTTCTCTCTTTCTTTCTTAACCTTCCCAAGACTGGAAAATTTAAATAAATAGTTGAGCATAAAACAATGAAAAATAAAGGTGCCTTTTGCTTACAGGGAGCAATTTATTATTCTCTGGTAGTGAGTTAGCTAGATTCTCCAGTCCTCGGTAGTCCTCTAGCATGTAGTAACATTCAGCTAAACGTTCCTGGTTTCGTCCTTGTACATAATACTGTACAGCATTTAACCTAACAAGAAAAAAAAAAACATGGTGGCTTCTGATACATAAATACAAGTGAAGCTTCTCATTGTATAAGCCTCTGCATTTGTAAATTTAAAATTACATTATTTTAAGTAGGTAACTTTGCTTGAGAAAGGTTTTGTAGCTAGAATTTCACTGTTTTTCTAAAATGCACTAAAAATTTTAGTTTTCAGAGATCATTGTATTGAAGTAGTAGCAAGATTGATTATCTGACTAGCCTAAGATTAGGAAGTCAAGGAATCTTAAAACTGAATTCCCATATCTGCACAGATCATGTCTGATAACAGACAACAACTTACAACTAAACTGTCAGAAAAAGGCTTTACTGTTGTGCCTCCATATTTTAAAACACAAGCACTAAGATCTCCAACATCATTCTCCAAAGTTACCTAAAGCATATATAGATCAACTTTCAAGACCTAATCACAAGTTTTCAACTGCTTTGGGACCCAAGTTCTTTGTGATAATATAGTCTGGGTAACTGCAATACATAGTGGAGCTGAGGAACTCTGAGACAGTGTGTTCTGGATGCAAAAAGTTTACATGGACTTAGAGAGCAACAAGTAAAGTTAAGGAAAGAAAATATCTCTGCAAGTTATTAACTATGAAGACATCACTTCTGGCTACGTAAGTACCTGACTGCAAAATGTGTTCTGAAGAAACACCATTACACGTGTGCACTGTTCTTAAAAATTCTTCCTTGGTTGCCCAGTTTGGGCAATAGCTAGAGACAGATCCAGGTCAGAGACAACTCTGGACCTTTTCAAATATTTGTGGGCTTAAGCATTCTAGAAAGCTTGTGGTTAGTTTTGAAATTCACAGATGTTTAATAATTCTCTCTTACTTGTAACTGATTTTTTTCTTGAATATTTTCATACATTAATATCCAGTTTAATAGAACTGTATAGGTATTTCTCTTCCCCTGCCCTCCTTTGAAGTAGACAGACTTCTGGCAAAACAGATTTTTAGCACCTTCATTCTTTAGATAGTTATCAACAGCTCTCTGTTTAAAGGTACATGCAGTGATGGAACCATAAAGGTCTGAGCTAAATTTCATCATTCCAGAATTAACCCATGTATTGCAACCTTCCTTTCCTGATGCCTGTCCCTCCTCATAAATTAAGTCTTGTCATCAGTTTTATAATTTCCTTTGTAATTTCCTTCTTACTAGTTCCTGTATAGAGCATACCATTTCTGACGGTCTGCAAAATAATCTCCAATAGCATTGTATGCTTGTTCAAGAAGGGCATCATCTGAATCACCTGAGCCAGTTTTCAATAGCTGCAACACTCGAAACCAATCTCCCAGTTTTATCCGTAGTCCAATGGCAAGGTCTCTAGCATAAACAGAAAATACCAGGAAAAAAGTCAAAGACAATAAAATAGCTAACAAAAATCTTGAGAAAAGCATCCAAAAGTATTTTCATGTTTATAACCTACATCGCAAGTATCACAGTGATCCTGGATATTAAACAGCATTCCATAAAAGCAAATACTTGGAGACCTCACAGGTTACATCATATATATGCGGTTTTCTATTAGCTATATTCCTGTGAGGCATTAAATGAACAGCTGGCAAGACAGTTGGGCTGATACTACTTCAGGTTTCCTCTTATTCCTTGTACCATTCTTTATCTTTCACTGCTGACTGCTACAGTAGATGGCAGCAGCTGCAAAAGGCTAAAAGCAGAAGGGAGAGTAAGGGAAAGGCTAAGGAGAAAGGAATATGAATAATAGAGGCAAGAGCCAAGATGTTATAAAATGGATTTCAGAGACTTCTCTTTCAGATTCAAGTTGACTTTGGTTGAAGGAGAGAGGACTCAGAAATAGTCTTTCCTTTTTATTATTCATGCATACGTATGACACACCGTTTGTCTGTTTGGCACATTTTTTCCACCATACAGAATAATTCTGTATTACTTCATATAGAAGTAATTCTGCAGGTGCACAGAAAATCAGTGGGAGAGATCTATACAGTTCTTTTAAAAATGCCCTAGAATTAGAGTGGAGTTATGGAAGGCAATAGCAACTCAGTGCAGTCAGCTAAATAAGAGCATCTTTCTAGAAAAATTAAAAAACTTATTTGAAAAATAGATTTATTTCAGCCTGATTTATGGTAGGTCCTTATCAAGATTTTTCTAGTGGTGAGGAAACACATAAGGTCAGTACATAATTCCCATATTCTTGTAGCTGAAGAATAAGATACTGTACTGTTGATGAAACCAGTAATCAAAAAAGAAGAAACCAACAAATGTTGACTTCTGCAGTGCTACAGTGGCCAAATTTCTCCTCAGCCATGTAGAAGGGAATATGCCATATCTAAAAATCAGTGTTGCAATGCAACTGAAGTGCTTATGAGGCAGTCCACCTCTCCAAACCAGCATACTTCCATCAGCTAATTAATTAAGTGCAAGAAGTTTTCCATTACCAGGCTCTAATGTGCATCTCTCCTCAGCTCCTGCCCTCCTGCTCCTCCTTAACTGATGAAGAGGAAGGTTTCTCATTCTTACAGCATGAAAGAAGAAATATTTTTTTCTCCATCTTTCCCTACTTTTTTTCATGGCTCTGTTAATCAAAGCTTAAAAATTTCACACATGCCTAAGTGATTTGTGTTTCTCCATGTTTGACCACCACCTACAGGCTACATCATACAACTGCTCCTTATTATTTCTCATCCTTTTTCAGTAAAGACAGTGGTCTAGCTAATTATTTAGTGCTAATTTATATTTCTCAGTAATATTGTAATTTTGCTTTGTTTGTTTTCATTCCTGAACAAAAATTCCACTGATTGGTCCACAATTTCATCCAAAGTCCTTTCTGTCTCTCCAGAGATTACAGTTCATTAAAAACTCTGTTGTTTGTACATGTAATTGGAAAGAATGTGTACTTGGCTACTAGCTAAGAGCAACAGTACATAAATTAAACATTAGTTAAGACTGTATTTTTGGAATCCCAGTTGAAATACCAACAAAATACTTGCAAAAAAATCTATGAAACACAGCACTACCTAGAGCAGCTGAGGTTTTGCAAACAGTTTGGAACGCGCTGATTTACATATAGAATTGGTTATCTGTGGATACAACAAAAATCTCTCCATCTGATCTCTTCTGTCTTTCTAGAAACTGGTAGTCTTCAGTGCTAAAACAGCCATTCCTTATTAAGGCAAGCTTTTTTTTTTCCCCTAGACTTTTTGCCTTTATTTGCTACTGAGATGACTACATGCAATTACCTTCTGTCCATATCCAGATACATTCTTTCAGCTTCTTCAAATCTGCTAAAATAGGCTGCTACTTCTGCTTGCTTCATTGACTCACTCTGCAGGTTGCCTAGATGCTTCACAAATTTAATACCTTGATAATCTTTGCAACGTACAAAAGCTTGTTCAGCAGTCTGCAGATCCAGCTTCTGAAGAGCAGCTTCAGCCAAGAGACGCCTGTGTGAAAAACACAGATGGACGAGTAGCTATAAATTAAATGAGGATCCATTTAACTAGTGATTATTTGAAGAAGATAAAACAATTGCAGTAACTCGAATATTTACTGACTAATCTTAATTCAGTTGTATGTTTGTCCTCAGTACGTTCTGCGATCTATCCAGTACTTGCTCAAGGAACTGTGTTCAAATAATTGCTAATATTCTTTTGTTCAGCTGTTCAGATGGACACTGGCTTGAGAGGAATGGGCAGGGTTTGAGTATTACAGTCGTCCTGTGTGAAATGTGTTGCCGCTCTCAATACAATTCCATTTAAATATTTCTACCTACACATGTATCACGAATTTAAGCGCTGATGGCAGCCTCAGTCTGAAGGTCTCCAACTAAATTTGCCATGAAGAATTATCCATCCTTCTAATCCATCTGGATGTTCCTGGGAGAGCAGGGATGTCTCAGAAACCTTGTACTGGTACTGCCCCATTGGTTAGTTCTGCAAATAGGGAATTTCTACCTTCATGTCAGCCTACGTCCATTAGGGGCTTGATGGATTTTCTGCAAGAGTAAGGCTAGGTAAATTTAGACTGGCTGATGGACATTGTGAAAGTCAGTGCAGTAGGACACTGACAAAACCAATATTACTGCTGTATTCAGTGACCTAAGCCATGTGTAGGCAATATTTTTAAATCAATTTGAGATGGTTAGTATTGCTTCCACTCAAGTGCTCATCACTGACATCAATGAAACTATGAGAAAAACATGGCAAATTTAAACAATTTGCGACACACATCCTGTTTGTTGTGTTCTAGTAGTAATGAGACTGTCCTGTTCTGATCTAGACTATATTTGCTTTATATCCAGCACTTCTATTTCACTTCCATATAAATACATGGCATACTGTATGTTTCCTTACATAATGCAAATTAAGTTCATGGTAATTTTGGAGCAAGGTGAGCAGCATTTGACATATATATTGTGATTTTACAATATAAAACTTTTACTGAGACAGACTTTCAAAACTAATACTCATTTTATATTAAATAAATAGGTGGTACTAGCAAAAAGCATGAATGACTTCAAATCTTCAAAAATCTTCAGCTAGTTCAAGACATTAGTAAAAATTAAGACTCACAAAACTAGCATTTTACCCTACATACTCACACTAATAAAATTACATTACTATTACAGAAGCTTTCAAGATGTAGCTATCAAATCCTGTCTTTCAGAATGTATGTTCTGGAGACAAAAGCACAACAGGATAGGAAGGAATGCTTTTTGGGACAAACTTTTAAAGCAAATTGTCATGGCCAGTCTTTCAGCAGTTCTAAATTCCCGTCTTAGCTGCCACAATTAACAGAGAACTCTCAACCCCCCTGATGCAAGCCAAACATCCAATACTGCAAGAAATCAGCTTCAAAACAAAACCAAAATTACTAAAGAAAGGTGTAGGTAGAGAAACAATCTCCAGAGAGTTAAAGAGAATTGGCATCATTTCACGAGTAACTTGTCAATGAAGTTTCAGTTTCTGCTACTGACTCTTCATTAAATTACCTACTGAGACATTAACTCTTCCAGCCCTTACAACACAGGATATTAAATAGATTTCCAGAACTCCTGTTTTCACAGGTTTACTCTTACATGTTTGCTGTATAGGCTTTTCATGTTCAGTTTAATAGCTGAGTCCATGTTTACTTTAAACATGCCAGCATCTCCTTTTCTCAGATAACCTCTGAGAGGTTGCGTTGTAACATGATTAATGTATCCAGTCCTTCTCATTTCTGTCCTTTATGGCCTGTCCAAAAAGCTCTTACGTTGTTATCATTCTAATGTGTTCCCTTTACTGGGATTTAAGTTCTTTGTCATCAAGGTTCAACATAAAATATATAAATAAATAACTGTCCTCTCAATTTATGACCAATTTTAATTTTGATTTAACCAGCCTAAAGTTAGCTTTCTGCCAGCATTTTCAATTTCCTTTAGATTCTCCCATAAAAGCAGGGAGAATTGTGTTTTGATACTTGTACAGCATAGAGAAAAAAGGTGTCCTGAGCCTGTATCTTATACCCACTACTGTGATACACACAGCATGCCTTTCATTTTAGGTACAACAGCCCACTCTTTTGGGTTCAAGAACTAGGAACCTGGGGAAGCACTGACCTTTTTTAAGATGGCTGCTGAGGAGTCTTGAACACTTGCTCAGCATCTCCTGAAACATGAATTCTCAAATGCTGAGGAACAAAAACCTCACTTTCTTGCATTCTGAGAAATGCCACACAGCTTGAAACTGCCCAAACGCATCAATTGCCTAAGAGCTGGGGAGCCAGGCTAGCAGGGGACTGCAAGGCTCTCTACAGGCATTCCCTCAATGCTGTCATACTCCTTTGGAGGTGATTCAGCCCAGTGAAGAGACATTCACAGTTAGAATAGCAGCCCTTAAGATTGCAGCTGAGCACCATTACTTTTTTTTCTTTCTTTTAATTAAATGATTCTGTTTAAAGCATGTACTGCTTTGGCTGGTTTTGATTTGAAGTTTTATACTTTAATACTATATCTGTCTGAACAGGAAAAGAATACAAAAGAACACAAATTTAAACAAAGTTGGCTTATAAAGAGATTTTACCAAAGTCTGGGATGTGGATTGTCTTCTATGAATTGGGAAGATTCTTCAATGCCAACTTTCTCAATCAATGCTCGACTGTCTCGTAATGACCGAATCTCAAAATTGATGATGTAATCTTTGTTAGGATGCTCAGGATTCTACCATAATGGATAAAGAAACATAATTTTATTCCATGTCATCTTTATTTTCACCCAACATAGGTATCTATTGTTCAAATCATTAATACAGACACCAACTTTTCCTACAAAATAAATTATGCTTACCTTTAATATTTCATCCAGAAGAACAGATTTGATTTCTAAATCTTCAAAGTTGCAAATATAGCCAGAAGTCTGTATAGGTTCCTTAAAGTTAAATAAGTTACAAAGAAATGAACTTGTATTCTGTCTGATTAAATCCTAACCAAATCTGTTAGGTATACATCAAGAGACTTTCTTCTTCTCCAAACTAGGATTTAATTGCATTTCCAACAGGAAACAAATGCTAAAATTAACATTACTGACAATTCTAGATGCAAATATAATTAAAAATCCTCATGTTTTCTATAACTAAGTTATGAGAAATAAATAAAGGAACACCTGCTAATATTTATATTCAACTGAACTGTGTTTTACTTTATCTTTGATAAAATTGTGTTTATATTTTCCAAAGCATACAAAGAAATGCTCCAGAAAATCTCTCATACATTTAAGAAAAATTATAACAGCATATTTATCTTTCCAGGACTAATAATTCATTTTACTTATTTGTTCCTAAACAACACTCCCACATTAGAGTTGCCAAGATTTTGAGATTTCCAGAAGTAAGTTTATTTATATAAACACTTGCCTAATTGAACAGTAAGCACAAGAATAAAACTATTCTACACAGAGCCATTAACTTCCAAGCAAATTTGTAAAATGAGCAGTTTACGTATGTTAATATCTACCTCTGGATCCAAGTTTCTGAAAACATACATTCTTGTTTTCTCCATCATTGCAAACAAATCTGGGTTATCTTTGGCCCACTTCATATCCCAGACATCTTTGCGTTCCAGTCTCAGCTGCTCACCTATCACTTGCTGTCCTGTACTGTCTACTATCCGCGTATCCAAGTCAAAGAAAGTCAAAACACCTGAAAGGTCTATGATAGCAACACGACTACAGAAAAACAAAGAAAAAAAAAAAAAGACAGCTAAATAATACTATTCAAGGTTGTAAATCTGAAATAATTTCCTAAACTGGCACACTCAGGTCAAATTTCCCCTCTAATACCAGTGTAATTCCGTAGAAAATCACGAGATGCATGTGATTTTCATTTATCTGTACAGCAGAGAGAGACCAGAGACATGGAAAGAAGTTTTTCGTCTGCTCATACAGGATCTGGCCCTGCAAAGGTTCTGGAACATGCCCATTTTTCATCCAGCATTCTAAAGATCCTTACTACTTCTGATATCAAATTGAGTAAATTGCAGGTTCTGCTCCTTGCCAAACTTTTCTTGACAGACCCTAAAATTAACAGCCAGAGTTGTTTTTCATTGTTTACTAGGAGGCAATAAAGCAGATTCTTAAATTAAAAGGACAGTGAGGTAATGTAGACTGTTAACCTCTCATACAGGATTTCTTATATTTCTACAAAAAGTATTCCTTAGGTATTTTCCAGACAATATGAAGTATAATCCAATTCATCTTTGAGGTAATTTAAAAATGGGAAAAATACAATTTCTGAAGGGTTAAATTTTAAAATTTCCAGTTACATGTGTCTTCAGGGAATCGTAGTAGCCAGTATTTACTACAATGCCATTTTAAAAGCATTTCTAAATATTGAAAGGTATTCAGACACCCTTAATCCCTATTAAAATTTCAAAAGAAAATTAACTTTATAACACTTATGGATCTGAGTCTTTCACTACCATAAAGTCATTTAGGAAGGAGACAGCTTGGGTTCAAAACAAAATTACTGCGGCTCTGACTAGATCACATTGCCTTTTAAGTAAAGCAATGTATTTTTGTTCTATACCTACAAAGGTGAGTAATCTACACACCCATTATGAATTTTGTTTTAAATTAGAAAGTTATTCTAAAGTCATTAAAATTGTCTTACAAGTGCTCTTTAGTCAGTATACTTTTGCCTTTTCTGCCAAGACTCTGTGCTCTCTCTTGCAAAAATATAGCTGTTAAGTAGAATGCAACTTCAGTGTTGGACACAGGTGAAGTTTAGGAAAACCAGTCTTGCCAGAAGCATTGCCACCAGCTATAGCTTGTAACAATGGAAAATAATCATGGGATGAACAAAGTTTCCAGGCATTAGAAGGACACAGAAATAGAAGCCTTAGAGATATAAAATTTCAGGTTACGATATAATTTCGTCAATTCATGTCATGATCACAAGAAGTTTGTGTTTGGTTCATCTAAAAAAACAAAGATATTTTCATGTATGTTTCCTTAAACTTTCACACACACCCTAAAGAGTTTAATGCATAAGAGAGCTTTACTAACATAGTCTCTCAGAGCAATCCCATGACTGGCCACATGTAATTAATTAGTAATAAATAAATGGCTACACAACCATTAACAACTAAAATTAATAAGTAGTTTATATTAAAGTAAAATTAGTACATAATTATTATAGAATCATAGAATTAGTATTTTCACAAATTGCACTGCTTTACTGTAATATCAGATACCTGCGTTAAAAGCAAATCCATAACTTACCTGGAGTTGCAGTTCAAAGACAGCTGATATGCACGACAGTTCAGGCTATACTTCTGTACTACACCAACACTAGGAAGACTGTATCTCTGAATAGTGCCAGATTCTCTTCCCTAGAGAAAAGAAATGGCTGCTTACTGAGAGAATTTTTCCATCAGTAACTCTTTAAAAAGGTATGCTGTCCTAGACAAAAGAGTTTTCAGATAAGTGACAGCAAAAGTGGAAAGAGGAAATGTCATCACCCTAAAAGTTCTGAATTCTGCTATACAAACAAGATACTTTAAGATGCTACACTTTATAGATCTGCTTAAATCAGGGATGGTAAAACAAACAGCCATAAGTCCATATACAGCCCACAGAACAGTTTCAGGAGCCCAACGATTCCCCATGAACATTCAGACATGGTCTACATAACAAAAAAGGAGAACAGTGAAAAGATCCCTGTCCCGTATTGGTAAATCCACTCAAACAGTGCCACAAGACAATACCAGCTCAGGTCTGAAAGCAGTACGGCTGTGTTCATGTAATGCTATCTGCATGCTAACCAGTCTCACCAACTGCTCCAAGACCTGAGCTAGTTTTAGAAGTAAAAGATGTAAAATATACTGGTTATTCTAAGGCTTGAGTAACAACAAACAAATCTAAGCACCAGTGTGGTTTATCTTTATTTTGCTAAATGACACACCTGTACCCTGTGTGACAGTACCAGGCCAACACTGTAAAATTAGTTTGACATCCCTGGACCGAAACGTTCACTGCCACTATTTTCTCATGGTGTTTCTGTAGACTGAACAACATAACCAGCTTATTTTACCTCTTGTTTAACCCTTATACTGGAAATGAGTCAATACTAAACTTTAAGGTAGTCCAAAATGTGTACTTTTTTTCCCCCCCAAAGCCACCCCTAAAATCCTCTGCATAAATGACCTTTCATCTTTGACCTTTTCACATCTGTATATCCTGTAAACTGAAAAGCAGATCTGGTCAAAAGTGTTAGAAAATCTAACCACTGTAATATGCATTCAGCTTCAGCACATTTATCCAGATCTGGTCTCAAAGACACTTTATCTCATTTTCTTCCTTTTTAACCAAAGTCACTGATTAATTACTCTCTTATTTTCTCACTCTTATTCTTCAAGCACAAACAGAATCCCATAGTCACCTACTAACTATCACACTTTTTTCATTCATGTTTTTTCTTGTGACCCACTGATTTTGTAAAATCCAGTCAAAGGATATACCAACAACAACAAAAAAATACTGGAGGAGCAGCATGTGAAAACATCGGGATTTTTCTCAGGAAGGTGGACAAAACTGGAGAAAGAGTGTTGTTTTTCTATCTTTGTTCTGCTTGGTTAGTTTGTTTAAAAGCCCGCCTATATGTCTGTTCGTCTAATGAGATCACTCTTTTCAGATCAGGGAAAAAAAAAATGCACCAGCTGTTCACCATGATACAATACCTCATACATCATACATATGTACAATACATAATAAGCATACTGCATTCATGTGATGTCATCTATCATCATAGATTTTGTCATTAATATGTAAATAGACAAACTTTATAAATCTTTATGTATTTACCTACAACCTAGATGAGACTTCCTAAAACTCAGATTACAGAATTAAGTCCTGACCAGGACTGTACCAAACCCTACAAATATACTAACTTGAGCAACTAGCCTGTACTGAGATTGTAAGCACTTAGTGAATTAGCACTCCTAAAGAATGAGTCCAGGTTAACAAATAACCTGTTCAAGTTACCTTTGAGGACCTCTAGAAAGAGATTTCATCTGTGTAAATTCTAAATTCAGAAATGCTTTGAAATTATGACTGCTTATGAAAACATTGCAGAATAATCTCCTCCTACAAGCACAAAAGAGTTATTTTAATCATGTAACTTACCACAAGCAGTATTTTATCAGATGCTGTTATTGCACAAATTGGATCTCTTGTTCCCTGGAAGTATAGAAATATACAAGCGATACCAGTATCAGTTTTAATGCAGCAGTAAGAATGCACTGCTAAAGAAAGAAGTTTTATTTAAATATACTTGAGTGTTGCTAAGTACCCACATGAAAAGGGGCTGTCAAACCTTGACAGTATACTGTATATGGATGGTTTATGGTATTAGTAGCCTTTGTTATGGAAATCATGACAATAATAATATAAACAGCTTCCTTTCTTCTCCTGCCCCTCCTCCAGAAAAATAAAAAACCCAAAATGCAACGGGTGTTTGACAGGAAACACAAGGCGGCAATTACCCCTGACTTGTGCAGTCTGTAATTAAATTCAGGTATATTGGTAAGTACAGAAACAGGCATGTGTGCACATGCGCACACACACACAAAGTAAAAAAGGCCAAAAATATCAGAAAAGATTACAAGGGTTATTGAGTTTCAACAAGTTTATACTTTGTTGAGTTAAGGGGAGCTGCTTCTCACCAAGAATACAGCAGGTATCTACATACTGGACCCCAGAATATACTATTCCTATGTTCCCTACAATTTAGTGTATATTTTCAGCAAAAATCACAGTAACAATGAACTAACTAGTGGGAAGAAAAATAACACTCATGTAGAAAAGTAGAAGAAAGTTTATGATCACTTCTACTAATGAAAATAAATAAAGCAATACTAACTACTTCTCTTTCAAGCTACCACTGACACCACAATAAACTAGCTGAAAAACATCACTCACTTCAATAGCTCTGCTGTAATCAAGGTGTCCATCTGCAGATCCTGAAGGTGTGTCATCAATATGATAAATCCTGTAGAAAAAGAAAGTTAGAATAAAAAGTGAAGTCCAAAGAAAGTTTCATTTTTGACAGCATATAGGGATCTTCAATCCTTGGAGAAGAAACCATTGCAATTGGAAAAGAGACTAATACACCTGTTCCTATGTTCCAGTAGTACTTCCTTTGATAACCCTGCTTTTTATTGATATAAAGATATAAAAATTGCTTTCACTTTCACAGTCCCTATTGGTCTATTCTCACATGATCTATAAACTTTCATTCTCCAACACGAAGTTCCTGAAAACCACCAACAATCCCAACTGTCTTTTCAATTGTGCACTTCCATATTTCCCCACGCTCTTCTCCATACTTACGAAGAGCTTCACCTTCATATCCATGAAACTTATGTATTACTGTATTCAGTACTTCATAACTTCTCTTTTGCCTTAAAAAGTAGCATTAGGAAAGATTTTAGAACGCTAAAATCATAGCTTATACTGAATTACAACTACTTACTTTTTCAGCATTTCTATCAAATTTACAATCTTGTCCAAGGCTAGAACATTGAGGTACTAGAACAATGTAAGTTATTACACCATGTACAAATAAGTTCTAATTTTTATGGATATATGGTGACAAGAGATGGTAGATTTATGGAAAGATGTTATAACATCTATATGGAAGAAAACATAAAATAACACAAAATAAAATCATAATAAAGTTGCAAGCTTGTGGAGGTGACAGAAAAGTTAATGCTACGAAGGAGCACCTGGGAAGGAAATATTTTGGAGGCAAGATGATGTTGACTTTAGCTTGTTTAGTTTGAGAGGATATAAGTCCATACAGGATTAGATGTGAAAGATACAGACACAAGTGTATTTAGAGAAGAACTAGCTAGATAGACTGTGTCCTTACAGCCAGTAACGCACAAGGTGCAGTTGAAGTTATCAGAGGGAATATAGCTGCCTAGAAACTAGAAGTATGGAGAAGAAAAAGGGGAGGGAGGACAAAAAAGTATCAAGACACACAGCTCTAAGGGAAGCACAAAGCGAGCAGGACACTGAACAGGAACTAAGGCAAAAAGTCTGAGTTTGGATAACAAACAGACGTTTGTTATGAAAAACTATTCTTTAGTATTTAATCTTAAAGGTCTGCAAGTCAACAAATCTGAGAAGAAAAATTAGAAGACAAGAGTTCACATTTTAGGCGTGGGAAAATCCACCTTTATCAATGATACCAATGGAAAGGAAGAAAAATGACAAAGCCTGAAGACAAACCTTTCCCTGCCTTCTTTTCTGGTCCGTGCTAGCTGATTAATTTCCATTGCTGTGAGCTTCTTGGCCACACGATACTGCCAGATGTAAAACGCTTCTTTTGAAGCTGCTATCACATGCGTTTTGGTCATTGTGACAAACAACGGCCCTGTTATGAAATCAAAATGGTTGTAAAATTAGAGCGACAAGTATTGGACTAGATGCTAATTTGTAAACTTTTTCCCAGATAGATGAAACCATATCTCCATCCGTTACAAGCAAAAAACAAATACAAATAAATACTCAGAAGTTGACAATCTAGAAGAGATTCTTTGATTAGCACCACCTAAAAACAGACAACAACATTTTGAGTTAGACAAGACCTAGAAATGCTGTTTGCATCTTAGTTAATAGCTGGGCCAAATAACAATTCTTTACCTGCCTGGCAGCAAATTAAATATTTAGCAGAGTGTGCACTTAGTCTTACTTTATTGCATGCAGAGATGACAGTGTAGGAAGGCAGGGCATTTTCTTTACTTTAGCCCTAAGCCCATTTAGAATAGGTGGATAAATTAAGTATCTCATTCCTGCTGCAAATGTTAGGTGAATAAAGAAAAAAAAAAACCACAACAAAACAAAACGCACTCAAATCACTGTTCTTTATAATATAGTTTTGACTGTATTGTGGCTCTTTTTTTTTTTTTCTTTCCCCTTTTACAAGCCTGTTTCATCTTTCTGAAAAACAGTGAACGTACATAAAAAGGCACAGAAAAATATAGAAACTTATTAAGTAAATCCCGCAACGTCTTCAAATTCTACAAGTATATCAGTATGCTACCAGACAAAACAGGCAAATTCAGAAGAATTGTGAAGCCCAGCCTGTTAGTGAAACACTAAGTCTTACAGATAACAAGCTGTAAGTACAAAATCTGATTCTTTTGCAGTGAATCTTTTTTTCTGTTTCATCACGGAACAGAACTCTGGAGGGAGCTATTAGCCTGCCATAAAGAAGAACAGTGCTATTAGAGACAGATGAGGCAAGATTGGTTGAACAGACTTTATTTCTTTGAAACCAAGAGGATTATATAAGCTACCTGATGCCTGTAGAACACTTTTTAGTATAAATGTAAATACTGGATAAGAAGGCTTAGTGAAGATACTTAACATGTGAGCAGTAGTATTGCCTACATTATATGCTACTCAGTGTATTTCATATACATAACACACATTCATTTCAATAATTAGTCACATACAACTAAAGGACACAGTCTCCTCTGTTTCATTAACAGCATTAATAAATTCTAAGTATTTGCTCTGTTCTTGTATCACCTTACAGATGCACATGCTGTAAGAATCAATTCTTTTATCCTTTAAAAATTAAACATGACAATTTCCTGACCTGTGAGGGAATATGGCTTCCTGTTGCTCAAATGACAGAATTTTGGTACTAAGCCTCATATTTGGACTCAGCTTATTCAACATTTGAACACTTTACTCCAAGACAGTGCTAAACCAAGCCCACATCTGACAGCCATGGGCATTCCTCAGACTTACCAGGTGGCTCCCCATTTGACCTACAGCTTCCATGGAGCCTAAACTTACTTGTTTGTGTACACATCAAAGTACCCCAATCTGGGAAAAAAGCATGTTCACAGAAGCTCTGTTGTGATCCAGAAACAAAGCGGCAACACATCTATGCTTTATCCAGAGAAATGCAATCAATTAGGAATTTTATGAACATGCCTAAGACTTAAACTGATCGTTGCTGTCAAAAAAAACCCCACACACCAACTCCTGACACATTTCCCTGGCACTTCTTTTACCACCAGCTCTAGCAGTAGCTTGACCACAGACTAAGTTGGATGAGTTCATTCATCTAACTGATCTCAAAATTAAATAAATATAAGATTAGTTTAAGTTGGATTAAAGAGAAAATCACAAATGCTAGAGAGTGCAGGAATGAGCAGCCAGCATGGAGGGCAAGGTCTTCTTTGCAACAGCAGGCTAAATGATGATGGGTTTTAAACCAAATGTGAAAATTGCAAGGAGAGGGATACACAGCACACAGACATAATCAGCAGCATCAGATCCATTCAAAAATGCATCTGGAAGAGCAATATCTGTATGTGGGAGCCAATGCTTTTATAAAACTGCCTATATAGCTTAAACAATTGCAAAGAAGTAGGACATACAGGATTTTTTCTAGAATTACTTTAGCATTTTATACTAGGCAGTCATTAAACGAACAAACACACAAAAACAAAATACAGAAAAATCTATGGAAAAATAAATTAAAATCCAAGACTAGACTGGACATTAGGAAGCATTTCTTTCCCAAGAGGGTGGTCAAACACTGCAACAGGCTTCCTAGAGAGGTGGTCAATGCCCCAAGCCTGTCAGTTTTTAAGATCTTTTTGCCCTTCGCATGCTTTAACTTTTCATCAGCCCTGGAGAGATCAGGCAGTTGAACGAGATATCATCGTAGGTCCCTTCCAATGGAAAGTATTCTATTCTGTTCTATTCCCCCTTCTCATCTCAGAGCCTTAATCACTGGGCTACACTGCTCCTAAAACGCCTTCCTTCTTGGCTGCGTAACAGCATAGATTCATAACAAGCAAAGAATGCTCCAGCCACTCCAGCTTTGGGCTGTTGCGGTGGCAGAGAAGGAAGGAATGGGATTTGTCCTTTCCTGGGAAAGGAAGGATGCTCAATTCAATCCCTTCAGGCTGAGGAAGACCCAGGATCCCTTTCTAGGCAGATGGTTTAACTACTTCGTTTCCTTTCGTGTAGGGAATATTATCATCTTATACAGAGGCCCTGATTTTAACAGCAAGTGCTGCTCATTTGGGCAGCACTTGAAGTGCCCTTCAAAGAATTCATGCTCTGACTATTAAGCAGACAGAAAAGCAAGCACCTTAAGTCAAAAGGAGGCAAGAAATCTATCTGGACACTCCTCTGCTGAGCATTTCCACTGAATAGTAGCTTTTCATGATAAATATGTGGACTTCAGAGACCTGAGACTGTCTAGCTCTTCCCACTGATTCTGCAGATAGATAACTTCATTATTCATGACTTAATACTTAAATGTCAGACTCTGAAAATATGTATGGAAAACATTTAAACAGGTGCCTTATTTTTCAGTGATCGAATACTGAAAAAGATTAAACACAACATCCCATCAGAACAACGCCAACATGTGAAACAACTGCCCTTTGAAGCTACTGCCCTTTAAGTTTTCTCTGGCCCTACTTTCTCTTCTCACCTCATTTCTCTTCACTGCTCCTTCATAAAACCTGCTCCCTGAAGGAGAGAAACTTTACTTTTTAGATATCCAGGAATCTCAAATAACCTTCTGCAATGTCTGTATTTCATCCACACTCACTCCATCTTACTTTAAAACAGTTAGAAAACAGCTGCTTTCATGTCTAATCTTCTTTAAAAAGTAGTAGATGGAAAATAAAACATGACTATATTATTTCGCTGCATGAAAAAGCTGAGACACTTTCTAGTATATGAAATAGGATATACAAAGAGAGATAAGTAATCCCACCTAAATCTGATGGAAAGGAAGCAATCTGACAGACAGACACAAGATTAAACTGTTGCTTTCATACAAGCCTGTTACAGGCTGTTCCTGAGAAACAGGGACAAACTTTGTCTGATTAATAACATCTACCTAATTTTAGAGCTTGATTTGAATGTCTCTGGAAGTGTTAGCTCATAAATAGAAGAAAATGTCAGACAGCAGAAGGGACAACTGAACTGCACATGGGACAACTCATCACTGACCAGCCTACAGAACACAAATAAATACTAAAAATCTGTTATAGTTTACTTTAAAATGATCAGCTTTAAGTAATAGCAAATTCAAGCGCTGTTTCACATATAGTTAGTCATCCTTGTTAAGGCATCCCGGAGGGAGGTGACACACCTAGGCATGACTCCAGCACTCTGCCTTTAATACACCTGTATGTTGATCAGGCTGTTGTATTCATTTCACTAGGCGCTAACACACAGGTGAAAGATAACCCAACACTTCACTATGTCAGTGCTCCAAGACACATGTAAGAAGATGATATAACCCAGCCTGAGTGACATTTTCTTAGCAGATACCATCTGTTGTGTTTCCATTTAAAAAGATATTATATAACAAGGTATTTAACCTACTGTAGGCTATATTTAGTTATTCATGAAAGGACTTTGACAGAAACCCTGTGAGCCTGTGGAACAAGCACAGAGGAAATTGGGTTGGTTAATTTTTGTACCTTCGTAGGATGGAACATAATCATGCTAGACAATGGAGAAAAGACTAATTTATTGTCTAGCAAACACTAGCTATTGTGAAGGATCCTAAAAAAAGGCACAGGAAGCACAGGAAGAAAAATGCCCTTGAACAAAATAAAGTGCAACATGAGGAAGAGCTTGAAGGTGTAGCCATCCATCAATGTCTAAAGAAAGATGAAGTGATGGCCTTTAACCAGATAATGACTGATTAATCCTTTTTTGCCATCATTATCAGATACAAACATTAGAAAGCTAATGACATAATTAAAAATTCAATAGAATAAAGGAATAAGCACTTTTTCTTTTTTGGAGCCCTTCTTGAACTATTAATTTAGAGCCCAACAACATAAGATTTGGATCTCCTGAGGGCAAATCAGACATTGCACACTGTCACAATTACTTTGTCATTAGGAGACTAATATTATTGAAACAATTTTATAAAATTATATAAATTGACAATTCATACAAATTGTGCCTTAACACACATTCTCAGATGCATTCTTCAAATACTCTGTCAGCTACTTAGCATGCCTAGATTAGCAATCTTTTTTCTCTACTGTTTCCTACAAGGTCAAAGCCCAAGAGACCTGTAGGATACCAAAGTCTCAAGGAGTGAAATCTTTATGCTCAGTAGAGCCAGGTAATAGCTATTCCAACAAGGGGCACTCTGATTAAAAAAAAACAACAAAAAAACCAACAACAACAAAAAAAAAACCAAACAAAAAAACAGAAGATATTGTGTGTTCAATTTGCAGTAATTACAGCCAGTCAAAATGTAGTTTAGACTCATGGCAGTCAAGAGCACCCACTTAAGAATAGGCAGTAGGACACAGATACCGAGTGGTCTGTTGAGGAACATCCTGCTAAACAAGAAGGTATTTTTCATAGGTATTTATGAAAATCAAAAAGGTAACAACCTGTGTTTTTAAACCACTCCAAGACACACTTAGATGTCTGGAATGAGAACAAGAGTTCAAAACAAAAATTACTTAATTACTTAAGCAAACTATCTTCTGGGCAGAACTCAATGGAACAATGTATTGTTTTACTAAAAGAGTAGTCCAAAACACTGTTTTGGTAGGAGAGAAAAAAAAAAAAAAAAAAGAATTTCACAGACCGATAATATGTTTTTCATAAGTCAATGACACCCCTCCAGTTATCTTGAGTAAGAAATATGTTAATTTTACTTTTGTACTACTTGCATCTTAAATTATTAATGATTACTCTCACCTGATAATTGATTTAAAGCTGATTTTTTTTTGCATTTTTAAAGAGAATAAAGGGATAATGATTTTTTTAGAAATGATGCACCAAGTGGATTCTGAAAAGAACATACAGAAAAGTCTTCTGCCTTTAAGGTTTTACAAGGTCTTCTCTCTCTATTGACCTGGGCAAGGCCAGCCAGCTGCTTAAATTTAGCACCCTGTCAAACTGGAACAATTACACTTTCTACTGCCAACAAGCTGCAACTGTGGTAAACAGCATGATATACTCTAGATTAAAGACCTTGACTGTGTAGAAGTATCTACACCTTGCACAAACTGACCTTATGTTGTAAATATTTCAAGTTGTCTGTAAAGTTGTATCTTCAAGGGTTACAGAAAAAGAAAAGCAACTATGATAAAACCAGCACAATGTGTTCCAAAAGTGTTGCATTTATAGATGTTTGCTTTTCACTTTCACCTTCAATCCCTTCTGTAAATTTGGTGGGCTAACTTTAAAGGAGTCTTACAGGATGCATATATTGAACAAAAAAAAAAAAGGTTGAATCTTTGGCTGTTTTTACTATACAGAAATACAGAAATGAAAGACTTGTTATGTTTGAACTACTGGGGCTACAGAATTTTTTCTGGACTCAAAAATGCAAATATTCCTAACCAAGTATTTGCCCATCTGTGAGGCTGAAGGCTACAGCATGTAGCTTTTTCACAAATGAACTCACACTAGGAAAGAGCATTGTAAATCTATGCACTAAACCGATCCTCTGACACTGGAGGGAACAGAAGCAGACTGCAGAAAGCTTAGTTAAGCTAAAGGAAGAGAAGCTTTTTCCAGATTGTTTAATCTCTTCAGCATAATTCAAGTACAGCTGGAACAACAGCAGCATTTTTCAATTAAATAGCATTTCTCTTTAACTGTTTTCAGCCACTGGAGAAGATTCTTTTCTTGTGTACAGACAGCTGTAGGAGACGGGTTGTAATGGGGGAATCAAATAAACTGGTACCTTTGTTTATAATGTAAATGAATAAAACTAACACAGATAGATTTAGAAAACTCACATAGAACACTAGAAAAATGCAAAGAAAATAGTTTAAATGAAGAGTTAGAGGTGTACATGTGAAGCTAATTTTGACTGTCTGAGTGGGATTTGTCTCACCTATTTTTAGACATCTCTGACAGAGATGAGCTGGTTGCCCTGGGCTTCTTTGTACCCAGTGGAGAGCAAAAAGACATCTTTCAGAAATGATTCACTGAACTTGTTTTAGATATCAACTGCAGAAATTAGATGAACTACTCCCTATAAATCCCAGAATCCTCTTCCCACCGCCCCAATCCCACCTGTCAATACGACCAGGAGACTAGTAGGCACATACAGTACAGACATCTGATAAGGAAGGGGGACGGACAGGGGACACACAAGAGACACCCCACCCACAGCACTACCACCTACTACATCATCTTACTTCGGTGCTCTAGTTTTTGTTGTTGGTTTGTTTGTTTTTTCCCCTCTATCCATTGTAAAATTCTTGGTATTGAATTTCCTGGGCACTTTAGCCCTTAAGATTCTGATATGCCACCCCTATTGTAAAAGGTAGCAAGAGGGCAAACTGACAAACAGAAGTTATGAGACTAAAACGTATTACAATATTTCATATACTTTCCATAGGACAAATAAGCCAAACTCATTCATCAGAGCAGGATATTCTTCATTTTAATTATGATCTACATTATAGGGCACGAATTTCACAATACATATTTGACTCACAGCTGATTTCCTACTGCTATCACTAAAAAACTGAACAAAGTTAGAAAATTACTGTTTAGTAGCAGTGGTTGAGGAAAATAATCATCTTGATGATCTCAGCTGTCTCTGTTCTTTGGTTAATTCTTTTTCCTACCTATATTCTTCTGTGAATTGTTGTTACTTCCTTGTCTTAGAGGTATTCACCTTACTTTCTTCATGATTTCTATCTTACCAGAACTTTGCTAGACCCTTTCCCCATCTATCTGGTAAAACAGAATGGCTGTTTGTTTAGTGTTTAATACTAACACCAAGTATTAGCACTCTGGCTTGGAACTAACTTCTCTGATGAGAAAGAAGAGTTACTTTTTGCAGAGAGGATGAAACACTGGTTCTAGGAAGCAAATTACATCAAAAAAAGTTCATGAGGTTTCTTGACATAATAGCTACATCTCTTTTTGGCACGGGTAGGGAAAAGATTTTGGTTTGTTTAAAAATTAACCTTAATTTCTGCAGAATCAGAGCACCGAAGTCCCAAAGCTACATGCACGTATTAAGTAGATACCTTTACATTAATAAAATAAGAGAGGAGGAATTCTTCCAGGTTTACAAAAAGCAGTTGGTTTTTATTCATAAACTGTTCCAATATGGCTATGCTCTTCTGTTGTACCAACCATATACAATTTTTTTTTCCTAAGTATTTTAGTGGGCTTAGAAAGTGCTCACCTTTATAATACAGTGGAATCACATTAGATGTCTACTGACAAATAAACCTTCTACTTACCATAAATTTAGCTAAGAGATTCTAAAAATAACTATTTATTTTTCATTTAAATAACTATATTCTGTCATTCAAAAGCAAATTAACGTTTTTGCTAAAACTTCATGACAAATGATTTAGCCTTTCAGCAAAACAGAAAAGATAATCAAAAAATCAAGCTTCAAAAAGAAAACTGGAAATCGGGTTCAGAGTATCTATTCGGAATCAAAATTCAGATCCATGTGGATAACAAACCAAAAATAAAGCAAAACACAGAACAAAAGTGGACCCGTTAATCAAAAAGCAGATTAATTCGTCAGTTTGTCGCACATCTGTTTGAAGGGAAAAAAAAAAAAATTATCTTTGTTCTCTAGCAAAACTCCCTGAAAACAGGATGATAAGAAAAAGATATTATCAACACTGAAATATGAAAAATTGATCTTTAATATATTTGGTAAGCAGAAACATGTTATTTGTAAATGAAAGTTCAGATCAAGCTACTTCAATTGCTCTGAGAAACTGGATCCTCTTCCAAAAAATACATTTTCTTAAAAAAAAAAAAAAAGAGTTGAATTACCACTGTTGTGAAGGAAAAGCTGAATTACCAAGGACATCCATTAAAAAAAAGGAAAAGTAACAATGTTTTTAAATTCCATTTTAAGTATTTTGTGTTAACTGGAATATCAGTTTAAATTTAGCCAATTATTACAAAGAATAGGACTGGTTTTATAAGCCACTATTTTTATTAACAGAGTAATTAATAGGTCATTTCCAGCAGAAATTACAGTTCACAGCATGGGAACCCCTGATTACATGTTTATTACATTTAGGGAGAGTCCAAGTAGAAGTGAGAAGCCAATATAAAAATCACAGTCACAACCACATATAGAACAGGAGGTCACAGCATTTGGATGCAGTGGGTGTTACCACATAGTGATTGTTCCATTGAACAACAAACTTGCATAAGAAATTCTTTATAATGAGTAGGAAAAAAGCAACAGGATAAGACTATTGCAAGTTGCTTACCTATATCAATATATTTTGGGTCCAAGGGAGTGCCAATAGAATTGCAGAGAACCAGCACATACTGTATGGAAATAAAAGCAGGTGCCATTACAACCACATTTGTTATAAATCAGTAAGGTGTACAAGGTTTTCTGTGAAGGTGTCTCTCATAACCCACATTTCACACAATCTAATGCTGATCAGCAACAGAAAACAGAGACCATGACTGCAGTAAATATAAAGCTGCATAAGCATGAGAGTAATGAGATATTTGCCAATTAGCACTATAAACGAAGCCAAGCACAAAACAGGAAAATGACCAGCTGTTTTAAGTGAAAGAGCAAACCTACCAGACAAAAACCAACACGTAGGTTGTACCACCAGCAGGGTCCACAGATAACATGCGGGCAAGACAGCCAGTGTCTCGGCCCCTGCTCTGTGGGGCACACACTGTACTGCAATTATTTATTCTCATTATATACCAGCAATTTCTGAGTAATTCAACTCTTGTCTGCATGTTCATGCAAAAGATAATCTAAAAAACTGCATCAGACCCCCTCGCTAGCTCCTAGAAGTTAAGACCCTTGTTCTATCCTTTGCAGACCTCGATCTCCTTGAAGAAGGAGACTCCAAGAAGACTACACTGTGGAGATAATTGTGACTATGGCTATTCCTCCACCCTGCAGTATCACAGATACTACAAAACTAATGAGTTTTGTTAGCTTTGAGCATCTTGTAATCCTGCTCAGGAAGGCTTTGATAGCACAGATACCTCAGATTGGTCTGTTAAGCTCAGGAAGATGCAAATAAATAAAAATTGACCTAGACATCAATGCTTCATTGTTGTTGTTGTTGATGTATTTATTTTTCCAGACCTAAATCAAGGATTAAATAACTTTATGATGATTTCACAGGGAAATAAGAACATCTTGAACGAGAAATGTGGAAATTAAGTAGCAACTTTTACTGTAACAGTCTTCAGATTTAAAAAAAAAAAAAAAAAAAAAAAGTAAAGAAATACACAACTGCCAAAACTTGATTTGGCTAAGAACCGTTATCTTGACTCTCCAGGAAATGAAAGACAATTAGCTCTTCATAGATCTTTCACCTCCTGAACAACTCACATAATAGTAGCAGGCAACAGAATAGCTTTACCCCTTTAAACTGATGTTATTAATCACCTGAGAATGGCAGAACTTGGGTTTTCACCTACTGTATGAACTTCATTCTTTCAGAGAAAAATACCTGGACAAAGATTTCTTTTCATTAAATATTTTTCTGGTTCTGCCACCAATAAACACCTCTCCAAAATAGTATTTTTATATCTTTGTTCATGAATTAAACTTTCCACCAGCATTCTCAAATTTCTCTTTTCCAAAAAATATGTTGAGCCTCCACCTCTGTAGGAAACCACACCTGACTTATTAAACTATTTACTGTTTGTTTCCATTATTTTTATATTAATTCTTCTCTGACAAATTCACTATTTAATCAATTTATCTTTTATGCCCTTTTTACTTATTTCTGTGACTCAGTCTCAGAGACTGCCAAGGGGTCATGGAGTAACAGTATCCAAGACAGAGGCTCCACGATCTACAGACGTGGTGCCTGGAGCAGGGAGTCTGTATTGTCTGACTTGATCAAAGCAGAAAGTTCAAGCCTTGCCGGGGGTATCAACATTAAGTTCTTTATAACTTACTAACATTCACATCTGCTTGAAATACCTTTAAACAGTTCCTGCTGAAATTAGTAATTTTTGCCCCATCAGCTATTGTACTTTTTGTTGTCTTGAAATCACAATTTTAATGACTGAAATCTACTGCAAAACAAATCTGTTTTTCAGAAAGCAACTCTAATGAACTGCTACCCAAAGGATAAGCTTGTTCACTTAATTTCGTAAAAAGTGACACCCCACGGTATTAATAATTACACTGGAGCCATTTTGAAATAATTGAAAGATGCTTATCTGTAATTTTCAGGTGCTAAAATTAAATCTCTTATTTATGCTTAAGAAAGTTACACTAAGTCCCTGCACTGTTTGTTTCCTATTTCAAAAATACAACCCAGAAAAATCTCATTTTATTGCACTCCATTTCAACAAATAGTTTTGGCCTTGTATACCATATTTTCAATCCATATGACAGGATATAATTTCTTGCACAATCAAGCAAAGCAGCACTAAAGTTTTTTTTTTTTACCGTTGCACCAATTGACTCCGTCTCATGCTCCTCCTTTGTAAGCAATATGCAAGTGATACAGAAAATAATTCAGAAGTGAATGCAGTAAGAAAAACCATGTAACCATGTAACAGAGCATCATGCTCACCAAACATATATTAAAAAGGATACATTCATCATATCATCTGTCACTACATTTTAAATAAATAAATAAATGGAGCAGTTTGTAGTAACGTGATTTAAAATTCCCCCTTTTTTACCATTTCTGACTGATTAAATATTCATTACCATTCTGATGCTCTCCTGCTTTTAGCTTGTCTTTGAACAACTGTTCTGAATACTTCTAAAGAAACATTAATCTGGAAGCCTGAAGTTTTCATTAAGCTACTAATAGCTACAAGCAGTTCCAATGTAAAGGCAGTTAATCAGTTCTGCACATTTTTGCTATTACTTTGTTGTCTGTTGGGGTTCTTTGTTTTTAAACATGAAGCCCATTCAAGTGCCATTCTGTCAAATGACAAATGAATGGCACGCTCTGAGACAGATTCAGAATTTTACATTTCATTTTATTCTGGCTGCAAAGCGCTGACAAGTGGAACAGAGCACTTCAAGTGAAAAATTAAAAGAAAGACTTTACCTGAGGTTGATTTTCATCTGCTTTAGTTGCTAACACACAGAAGTCTCCATAAGTTGTTATGGAAATCAAGCTCTTGACATATTTCACATACTTTTCATTGTTTTTTGTGTCCCAAAAGACTACACAGTATTCTGGACGATCAGGTCGGGTATACGCATAAACAACCGTATTGGAGCAGTAACCCCACTGCCAAGAGAGACAATTTTGATAAAACCTGTCAGAAATTATAAGAATTCAATAATAAATTGTTCACAGCTATGAAAGAAAGTACTTATTTCATATATACAATCAGTATTCAATATTCTTTAACTGTCAAGTGATGAACTAATTTATTAAAAGTATGTGAACACAGCTCCAGCAGTTAGTTATTTGCGCAGTATTAAACTGGCAGAAGTCTTCCCATCACACAGAATATCCCCTTGCAATCAGAACTGGAGGATCAACCTCAACATGTGACAAGATCTCACTTCCCCTTGTTTCTTCCTTGGTCAGCAGGTCCGCTGTGATGATGTTTTTTGCCATGAAAATGCTTGTTCTGTGACTACTGAATTAGAAACCCAAAGATAATTTCCCAAGGGAAGTATAATAAACACCTCAAACAGTGCACTTCCTGCAGCAGATGAAAATAAGCAATTATATTACAGCACTGTAATAACTCATATCACCTCTTCCATATTAGTAACATGAGGAAAAATCTTCCTTTCCCTCCAGAAGCATATAATTATTCATGTAACAGGTAGGAGAAGGGGCAAAAAGGCAAGAAAAGAAATGGAATATCCAAAAACTGTAAAAACCATGAAGATGTATTTTATTGCATTCAGTTGATTTAAGTTATTGAAAATAATAATGAAAACGCTAACACAGCCGGATCAAAAAATATCTCAGAAAGGAGATGAAGCTGACAAATAAATGAGTTATACAGTAAACCACTTAAGGTTGATGATGCAATTGAAGAAACACTAACAGAATTCTCTGCATCAGCATTTACTAGAGACAGAAGAAAGCTTGTTATAGAGCTGGCCAGAAGGGTTCTCACACTCTACAGGGAATGAAACTGAGACAGTAAACCAAAGCATCAGCAACAGAACTTTTAGAATTGATCTATAAACTGAATCATAATAAATTGTCAGAATCCAAAGATTTTCACCCAAGTAGAGTTCCATGGGAATTCAAACACAATGTTGTAGAGTACATCCAGAGAAACAGGAATGGGCAGAGGTAAAAAGCATTATGATTCTGCGAATCACAAATCAGTAAATCCAGCTTTCACACAAGGTAGAGATGTAAGAAAAAAAAAAAAAAAAACAATGGAAAAGGATAAATACAGCACATTGGACACTTGTGTTTTTAGCCCTGGAAGTTGTACCTCATTAATTTATTATTATTTCTTTTCTTTCAAAAAGGCAAGTGAATGAAGATGACCCAACTGATATGACCTACTTGGATTTTCAAGAAAATCAAGCTCATTTTGGATACAGGAAAAAAAATAAAAGGATTGGAATAAAGGTAATTTATGACAACCAAGAGCACTACCCACAGTATCCTTCCCAGAGGCGCAAGCTGGAACTTACACTATTCTCAATATTCAAAGTTTATATGAAAGGAGTAAGTTATGTTTGTCAAATCTAAAACTGATTTCAAGAAGTGGCAAAGGACCCCAGAATCCTGGATGATGAGGATATAAAGTAAAATCCAACATAGATTTGAACAAGGTAATACACACCAGAAGAAATGTAACCAGAGCTGTAGACTCTAAATTAGTATTACAACTCCAAAAAGATACCATGTAAACTACGAATAGTTTAAAAAAAGATCAGCTGAAGTCATAGCTTTTACTGTCATTCATTTAGAGCCTCCTTTCTCTTACTATGGCAATACTTGAAAAATATAGGAAACTGGATTATTCAGTAGACTGGTAATGTGATACTAACACTTCATCTCCAGGTCATTAATTCCAATCTGGCCTAAATTAATGACAGCTTTGAATCACTACCATTTAATGACTCTAACCTTTTAGAATATCTAGTTCCTAGAAGGGAGTTACTGATATAGCAAGAAAGAACACAGTGGTAGTAATGTTCATTATCAATTGAAGGACACCCCATATCATTCTCCATAAAATTATTTAACATTGAAACTGAGTATACTACCAGAAAGTTAAGAGTTTATTTGCTGCAGAAATAAATTAATTTGAGCACATCTTTTTTCACTTTAAAGATGCAAAAGGAAAAAACAAACAAACAAACAAAAAAAAAGTTTACATATGCAGCTTCTAAAACTAAGGTTTCAAAACATTATTCATTTGCAAACTGTGCCAGGTCTTGAAATACTTATTGTCTCACAAATACTGATGAGCTTAAGAAAAAGCAATAGGACTGTGTTCCAGCTGTTACGCATTTCCCAGAAAAAACATTAGGTAGCATTTCCTGCAAGACTAAATTTCCAGCTCGAATTTCCAAAGTCTTTTCCAGCAGATTTACAACAAATTGTCTGAGATTGCTTCCTAGCAGATTTGTGTTTATAACTCCCTGACCAATGACATTTCACAAGTGAGTGGAACAATACATTTCAATACAGCTGCAGTATGTTCCTCACATTACACTGTCTCTTTCTTTAATCAGAGTGGTTACACACCAATGATTAAAGAACATACCCTGTGCTGGAAAATAATGTATACAATACTGTATAGTGGACAGTAATTGCTATTTTTTGTTAAACTGTAAATTTAAGTGGAACAGTCCTAATTTTAAGAAAACAAACAAAGAAATCCATGTTAGACAAGATAAAAACATTATTTAGAATTAGCTAAAGACACACTTGAAAGAAGTATACTGGGAACTGAAATATAAGTAGGAAGTACTCCTATCAGGTTGCATTAATTTCTACTGCTCAGGTTTCCACACAACTCTCCTGATTCAAATTAGTAATTCACCACCAAAAAAGTGACAGTAAAAGGAAGGCTCAAACAATTCCCATTGTACCACTTCGCCCACTCAGTTTAACCAAACAGCAATGAAAGCACGGGAGCCTTACCTACATGACAGCTTCAATTAATACCAAATTTAGAATCATGCCCAATTCTTTTAATATTAATAAAGCATACATGAAAATAAAACCATAAATTCATCATAAAAGCAATAGTCAAGTCATTCCATCACTAAGACAGACACATTCTACTAAAACTTCAAGTCAGTAGTGTTGATCAGGCAGTAATTATAAGTTAAGCATTGATTTCTATATTAGAGAAAGCTACTTTTTCAACCTGTTCAGAAAGATAATAAATAACAGGAAACTTATCCACATTACTACATACCTTGTAATCTGGACGAATGTTTGCAAAATATATGTAAGAATCGACAGCTAGTGCAATTTTCAGTCCACTTCCTTCCCAAGACAAGGCAGATATCTGTTTGCCAGGAACTTTCAGTGTGCGCAAATGCTTGTTTAAAACAAGGAAAGAAAAAGATTCTGAATGTATCATAGGAAAACCACTCTAAAATACATAAATGGTAGTTTTGGTAGCTGATGAAAACCAAACATCTATCTTCTTTACAGTACCTCATAATGACTCTCAAATTACAATACACATGCAAACAATGCGGGAGATATTTAATATGCATTACCATAAAGTGTTCTTTTGCCTCAATTCCTTGTCAGAGAAAAGGAAAAACTAGGACTCTCTGATAGTTCAAACTTACAAAAACAAGTAATAGATGGAGAATGACAGTATAAACATTTTTTCCTTTGGATGGTAATTTGAATCACCTTTAAAATTTCAGTTGCTACTAAAATAAACACAGTAATACTGATACCTGACATACCTCAGAAGTTAATTTATGCTGGAAGTGTATTAGTCAGTTGATGTACAACACCCTTAACAGCAGCTGATAGTTTGAACAAATAAAAACATATAGCTAATCTATGTCAAGAGCATACAGTGAATTAACTGCATAGGTACACAATTTGCAGTAAGGCAATAAACAGTTTGCTCTCCTCTATTCTCTTTCAAAAAGTCTAAGAAAGGCAGTTAGATATCCGTTTACAATTTAAGACCTAGCAAAAATATACACTTCCCAACTTTTTTACATATACTTATTTTGCTGTGAAATTTGAAATTAAAAGGAAACAATTGAAAAAAATAACGTTTTAAAAAACTATAACCTTATTTCAACAGAGCACTTGGTTGTGGGAAGCTATTTTGTTTGCAAATAGTATAGAAGTATATAATAGAGGATACATTAATCTACCACTTACTGTAAGATCTTGAGTAATCCTTGGCTTTTAAAAAAATACATTTTACTGAGCAGAACACTGATACTTATGCTTAGATCTAACTTTCATTTTGAGGGCACCACTTTGTGCCCAAAATAAATTTATTGATAACTGTTTACGCAGTTTAGTACCTATTTCATGACTTTGAACAGATGTAAATACCAAGTCCAAATACTGGTCAGACATTATACACAGAAGATACTATCTTCCAAAAAGTTAATTCCTTACCTCAGTATCAGAACTAGTACAAAACAATTCTAAAAACTAAAGAATTTGCTTCTGAACACTAGATGCAGAATCTGGAACGCCTGTTTCAGTTACTGTGAAGGACATTAGCAACACAGCACTACTGCCAAAACCTTTAGTTCCATTTAATACTTTCAACTAAGGAAACCCCTACAGATGATGTTGGAACTTGACCCATTTCACAGCCCAGCTCACAGCTCTATCCTTACCGGTTTTGCTCAGAGCCGGTCTACACTTCCTCTGTAAAAGGCACAAGCTTCCTCACACTCTGGTATGTAACACTAACTTACTGATTTCCATATATATGACTAGGAGGGAATGTGAAATTATATTGCAAGGCAAGAGTAGCACCATGAACAAAAAATACATAGGAAAGTTATCTCTCAATGTTGAACATTTAACATTTATAAAAAAAAAGACAAAGTACAAAAAAACATTTACAAAACAACGTCCCCAACAGAAAAATGAAGATTAGAAACAGTTCACCTTTTCTGAGGTTTCTGAACCACACTTTTTTCTGATAACAGATGTTGTTTTCTCGGTTTTACTGATTCCACAGAGGGGAGCATTCACTACCTTATTTTGAATTCCTAATCTAGAGATGCTGAGGTCTCTTACACGGCCAGTGGAAAAAGACAAGTACTTCCAGATTTGATACACAGATGTTAAGCTAGCATCTTAACTAACACCTAAGCATTCCAGATCACTTATTGACTGGAGTCTGAACTCAGGTATCCTGGCGTTCAAAGTTAGACACTATACATATCCCATCATTTAGTGTTTTAGGAGATGCACTCAGATTTTCTCACGGGCCGCTATCTTGCTGTTCTAAAAGGGTATCTGGTCCTGTGTCATCTTTCCAGATCCAGGTGGATATCCTAGATACCTCAGAGCACATTAAAACACCTACATTTTGACATCCAAATTCCACCAGTAATGACTACATAGACAAAACATAATAAGATTAAGAAAACATTTAAGTATATTTAATATTTTTACCTCACCAAACGGAGTATAGAACTGCACAATGTTTACATCTTTATCTTGAGAAGTTGCTTTTAGGGAGCCTGCCACTGCCAATACGCTTCCACAGTGATTCCACTGAATACATACTACATTCATACCAGTGTCAATCAGAACGGGATCTAGTTTTTAAGAAATAAATATTAGGAATATAAACACAAGTAGACATTTTGGGTCAAGAGTAGCTCAGTAATTAGCAGCCCACATTCTCTACTTACTGTGGTCATTCTCATCTCTCATTATCTGGCATCTTCCATTGTCGTAACAGACAGCAAGACAAGGACAATCTGGTTCAATGTAGCCTTCTGTACCATGATACCAATGTATTCCAGCAATACTGAATGCTCCAGTTAAGTTCACCAAACAACTCAGTTTCATTTTCACCTAGACAAAGATATTTAGTCATTTAAAGTCATATATGATGTGTTATTTAGAAGAACAATTTATAACCCTATTGATACCTTGCAAAAGACCAGATGCCTATGCAAAACTTTTTTCCTGTCCCAAGAAAAATTTTCACATCTCAAAATTTTAAGTTTGAAAAACTTCCTTATTAAAAGCCAGATCAGATATATGGAAACACTTATTTTAACTACAAGAGTACTTTATGTCGTCATTTTCATTCTTTGAAAAGTAACTTAAAACCAAAGAAAAGAAAACAAAAAAAACAAACCAGCCATCACACACAGATATGCGCATACACATAAGGAACCCGACTGGAACTCTGCAAAAAATAAAAATAGTTTCGAACCATTCTTGGCCACAAGATTTTTTTTTTTTTAAAGAAAACTTTTGTCAGCTTTTTCTTGATAAAAAATCTCTTGAATAAGATATAAAAATAATTGGAAAAAGTGTCCAAATTAGAACACCAATTAAGATAAGTTTACTTTTGTAATAATTATCCCTGTATATCTGGTAACACAGGCCTCTTCTGAAACATGAGAGTGCACCTGGATTACTTTGAGGAAGGCTACCAGGTAAGTGGAGGGGGGGGGGGGGGGGAACAGGCAGGGGGAGAGAGAGAGTGAGTGCACAACCATACATATTGTTGATAAAAGGAAAGGGGGGAGCAGGGGGAGTGACAACAACTTATTTAAAGAATTTCAGTAATTTACAGCACATGCTCAAAACACTATGACTCACAGAGTGGGAAGAAAAATACAGTGGGGGGTTAAAGAAAAGAAAATAGGAAGGGTAGCATACTTTCTTACGAAAGGGAAGGAAAAGAAAAGAAAGGAGGAATAAATTGACCATAATAGGCATCTAAAAGTCATGGTTCTTGTCAAAGTCAGTGTTTTACTTCTCTTTAGCATTTTGTCATTCATATTCCAATACTCCAAATAAATAGATAAAAATAACTAAGTAAACCAAAGTTGTAGGAATGCAGCAATATTATAGTTACTTCCTTTCATTTTTCCCCTTATTACCAGGTTTTCTCTGAAGCATGTAACATTCCTTATGTAATAAAGAATGACAGCAGCAATAGGAAAATAAACTACTGCTTTATTCTAAAGGCACACTAGTACTTTTAAAATGAGCTTCATTTAATGTAATTAGTATCACCATACATATTTCTATATTTTCAGTAACTACTGCAAGGCAAAAAGGCATTAGTTGATGTGATATTAATTTAGCTACTAGGAAATATTTATATTAAAAATCTGCAGCTGCATAAATCTTGAATAAAAACTTTGTGCACAACACCTTGTCAAGTTTTCAGTACTGAAGTCCACCAACTATAAAGTCCAACTAAACAAATGAACGTGAAATAAATTAAGAAGTAAGTTTTTATGCCTGTTGAAGTTAATACCTTTATTATACCACCATGAACTTACAATAAAGTTTCCCTGATTGTCATAAATGTGAATCTCTCCATTTGCCATTCCAAAGAGTAAAACTTTGCTATCGGAGGACCAGGCCACATGGCACAGGTGGGTACCCTTCAAGTCTTTTCCCCAAATGCGATTGCCTGCAACAGAACATTGACTGTACTTAATAAACATAGCACAAAAATAAAAATAGGATGTAATTTACCAATGTAAATCTAAAATAGGTAAAGAAAGTCAAAGCAACAATTAGAAAGTTAACTATTAATTGCATTTATCTAGAGAAACAGAGCCACTATGTATGTAATACTGAAAACAAAAGCTATGTAATACCACAACTAGTAGGGCTTAAATTTTACCATCCACTGATCCAACAATTACAGCTCCATCTTCATATACGATACAAATCTTTTGTCCATCAGCATTCCAGCTCATACTCCGAACAACAGATTTATTTCTATTGTTAATCATCTCTTCATACCAAGCACCTATTAGTAGTGAATGAAAAACTGTGTTACACTTCCAATCTGATAATCATCTAGTCGATTCACAGTACACGCTAATCACTGAATCCAAAGAGTAAAATTAGTCTCAATTAAAAAGATACACAAATAGGATGGTAATGACATTTCTTAGCAATATGGATTCCCGAAGTTGTTAAAAAAAAAAAAAAAAAACCCCAAATAAAACATAATACAGAAACACAAAAAGTTTATGTTATCAATCAAATTAGGTGTTCCATGAAATGGAGAAACCTGAAAAAGGTCTATTTGTAAGTAAACATGAGATAGTAGGTTACATATGATTCTGCAATATAATATACAACAAAAAGCTACACAATCAGTAAGTTTTGGAAAGGAATTAAATCCAAAAATCTTCTGCCCCTTCAGTAAAACTCTAGCAAAACTATACTATAGTGTCCTACAGACTACATAGGCATAATTATTGTGAAACCCAGTGTTCAGAGCTACATATTTCCAAAAAGAACCTGACAAATGAGGAATCAGAGAAGGAAGTCAAAGTCTGAGAGGGGCCCTACAGGAAGAGATCTGTGCTTATGTAAGTTCAGAACTGACAAGAATACACTAGGAAACATAAACGGAGGGAACAACTGTCTTTGATAGGAATATGTATTAAGCAATTCACTGGTTCTTTTCCAAAACTAAGAGATGATTTATGTGACAGTAGCCACCAAGTATCAGGCAGAAAGACTAATCAAATGATATTCTTTATTCCTGAAATGAGAAGCTGAGCTGAGACTTTGTTTCCACTGTTCATTAAACAAAAATCCCCAAGAGAAAAAGGAAACCCTTGATTTTCATTTTCTTTCCCACAGGTGCTGGAAAGTGATTGTCTGAGAGGTGTGCTGGCCTTCAAATGTATTAAAGTGTACGAAAGAAGTATGTGTACGTGTGAAAAGATCAAGAACAATAAAAGCCAGCTACAGCAATACACTGGTTAGTCATATTAGTTCACTGCCTTAATTAAACATTTATAAATATTGTTTTTATGGAAGTATTTAAGTGATGTTCTAAGCAGGGCTGCTAACCTCTTGTAGTTCTACCAGTATGTATGTGCTTGATGCACTTTGCAGAACTATTTAAATATTACATTGATACCCAGAACAGAACCTACACAAAGAAGCAATGTCTTTTTTGTTTCATTTTGTTCAATATACTTTTTCCCTCCAAGGGAATAAAGTAACAGAGATAAGAAAATAAGAAATTTCTATCAGTTTAGCAGCATATGGCTAAGAACCAGTATCTTCTCCTAAGGTAGCTCTGCAGGACAAATGCCTTTTTGTATGTAACTACACTACAAAAAAATGTAAATAAGTATTATCATGAAAACTTGGAAATTGTTTTACATCTATTTCGAGCTTCACAGTCCGCAAAATAAAAGTCTGAAGAATAATTGTAAAAATTGCTGGGAAAAAAAATATGAAAGATTTCTCACAACATGTAATGTTATCCCATCTCAAATTTATCCTGTAGAATACCTTTATACAGCATCCACACAATGATGAGTCCATTTTGATCACTGGTAGTCAGTTTTTGATACTGTTCATTCCATGTCACCACTTGCACAGAACCTAGAAAATGATACAAATTTTTTATTTATACCATTTAAATAAGTTAATAAAAACCACCATATCCGACTTAATCAACCTGAAGCTTTTCAGAAATTTGCACTGCTGACTTTGATTTAGTTTTAGGCATTGTTCCTGTATTACTTGTTTCCTCTTTCAAAATTCTGCTAACCAGCTCCTTTTGGTCCTGTATTCACCCACCTGAGTAACAACCTTTCTAAATTCTGCTCAGAATATTGCTTCAATACACAAAACCCAAATCACAGTTTTGCAGTTTCTGAACGCCTCTGACCTGTTAGTCTGGGAAGATGACAAAACTTCATTGTTCTAAATTCTGAGTTTCTTCTTCATCTTAGTAGTTTGACCCTCAGTAGCGATGCACTTTTAAAACAAAATCTCCCTACAATTACCAGAAAGAGCACGCTAAACACAGTTCCTTCAGACCCTCAATTCTCATATGGGACCCTAGTCAAATATTTGACTCGACTTGAAACATCTTCAAGCCATTTCTAAGCAGTATCTTATCAGTTCAACACTGGATATGAACTTGGCCACTTCAAGCATCATACTCTTTCATGACCTCACCGGTAGTCATCCATTTCCTTTGTATCCTTGCCATTTTTCAGCCTTTCAGTCACAAACTCTATGAACAGATGCAATCAAAGATATCCTGAATGTTGGGAATTTTTGAAGGTAACACTAATCTGTTTCAGAATTGAAGACATACATTCAAAATATCCACTAAATTAATTCCTCTCAATTAATTTTTTCAATCATATTTAACCAGGCCCCTAAAATAACCTGACTATTGGCAGGTTTCAACTGTAAATCCTCATAGAAAGACCATTTCTTCAAATAATTTAAGGATTTTAGCATTCTCTTCATATCCCACTGTCCACAGATGATAATCATTTAACATTTCTCATGCAAGAGTTCAATTCCTCCCTAATTTCCCTGCATTCACTATCCTTCTCCAGCCTGTTTTCTAACCTCTCTAAACTTTGTCTGGACACTATAATGCAGTCTACATATTTACACATTCTGTAATTTGTATATAAAGGGAAAAATTAAGATAGATTTAAGACAGGGATCAGGTTTACCAAACTAACTTTGACTACTTCAGAAGAAAATTTAAACCTACCATAACATGTAAGTAAATCTCAGACTATAAAATAAACACTTATCCACATAGATGTCACAAGAAAAAAATGCTTAAGGCAGCTTTTAGTCTCATTTCTGACTTTAGCCTATTGTACAGAGTTTAAAACTTTATATATACAGTGTACGAAAAAAATGATTCTCTTTTTTTTTTTTTTTTAACCACAGTAGAACATCATCGTTTCTTTAACTCAGCAATTCCAGCATCCAGTGCCCATTAGTTTTGCTTTTTTCTTCTGCTATAAAGCACTCTTTATCTGTCATCTAACAAGGCAGTATGTGAACAAATGTATGGGAGCAAATGTATTGTTCTTTTATGTAAATACCTAAAAATATATTCCAGTTGCATGCAACTGAGCAGCAGTGTTAGCGGTCGCAATCGCGAAAGAACTTATCTACACCCAGCAGATAAGCAGCCACTTCTTTATTCCAGCGCTGGGGAACACGGGGGATAACTCCGCCAAAGACGTGTTCACCGACAGGTACAAAGCACAGCATATTTATACACTTTTTCAGCAGAGTCATAGTTACATAAGATCAACAAAATTCATAAAGTTTAAGTTGACCTTAATAATGATTGGCTTTCAGTTACCTCACCTTATCTATATTCCTATTTTACAGAAATCATTGGTCATCTTTACTGATTGATTTAAATAGAATGGAGGGAGGGCAATGATTAGCATATTCATGATATTTCCTGGAAATTATTATCATATGCAAATGTCCCTAACGCATGCGTGGTTATACTGGACGGGGGTCCTCTGGTGGTCGTCGATAGTCTTCATCACTGTGTCAGCTGACTGAACTCCATCCTTGCACATGCTCATTTTATCTTTGGCTAATGCTCACCTCTCCCTTGGCCAATCTTCCCAACCAAACCAGTTTCTTCTGGTACCTATTGTTTCAAGTCAAGATCCATAACCAGTACCTATTGTGTTAATTCAGAGACCATAACGATTGTTATAGTGTTCAAGGCACACAGCATACTAGTTGCTTAATCCTAAGGGCCTTAGTGTACTTTATATTCTCATAGCTACTGTAGCTTCATGTTAAATCAAAATCATACTTTTAAACTAAAATCAAAATAATATCCTAGGATTCAAACTGTTTTATTAAGGTAACTGCAACAACAGCATTTCCAGATTAACTTAAGTCAGAGATAGCAAGTACTATACCAGTAGCTCTACATGATTTAAAAAAAAAAGTCCCTCTGTAATATAACACATACAGTAGCATCATTCACTTAAATAGAAATTGATATTTCCTTCTCAGGATAATGAACAAGGGCCAAATAATTTGGAAAAAGCAAAGCCAGAGGTAATACAGAACACAAGTTAGGCTGCAACATCAAAGTTCACAGACTTAACATTGCAAAATTCATAAGCAGACTTTAAATCATAACAGGAAGAGCCAAGCTTGGTTTGTGCAGCATGCATTCTGCATCACAGATACAGTATCAGCCAGGAGAATTGAGGTAAGGCTAGATCAGTTTGGTTCTCAACCCAGTAATTCACTCACAGATCATGAAAAACTGACTGTAGGTCTTTCATCAGGTAACTTGGTGAAGTAGACAGCCAAGCTGTTACATACCAGTTGGGTACCGATAATCTTTATTTCAGGCTTATAATAAAAACTTATAGCAAAATTACTCTATCAACTTCAGAAAGACTTCTATTTTTATATTTTAATCAAAAGTACATGAAATGCCCAAAGACACTTACCACTGTGACCTTCAAGAGTTTGATTCACAGAAAGATTGCTAGGAGCTGCAAGTCCCTTTATTTTTGCTTCATCTAAAAATAACAAAAATATCTATAAAATAAACCTAGTAAAGCATATGTATTACTGTGTCTCTATCAACACTGCAGCTCTAATCACTATTTACACAGATAAAATTAGTCCTCTAAAATTATGTTAATTGTAAATGAAGGATTCATTTTCCACCCCTCAGTTCAATGCGTTTGCTATTCACACCTGTCATCCAAATTCATATACTCTTTATGATCCAGCAGTTTTTCCAGGAAAAAAAATGACAAAAAACCCAAACAAACAAAAAACACAACAAAAGACATGGCTATCACATTTTGTAACATTCAGGAAAAGGTTTAAAAGAATCTGAAAATAAATTAATTTTACTTTTCTTGGAACACATTTATAAAAAAAAAAAAAAAAAAAAAAACAAACCCACAGATTCTTCCCTAAAATAATGAAGGTGGTAGAGAACATTCAAACAAGTTCCAACATAAGTAGAAGCCTATAAGAAAAAAACAAGGATGAAACATATGCACTGAAGAAACAGCACTGAATAAAACTTCAGCAGATGTAACAGGTAGACAATTACATGTGTGCCACGTAACACAAGCTAGAGGAAAAGAGTGTTCAAAACAAAGTGACAGCACATTTGATGCTTATGCAAATATATAAACTATATGTATAGATTTAAAACCTATGCAACATTGTCAAGTAACTTGTGAAAGGACTTAGGCTCTCTGAAGTGTGTTGGATTGTGTTCTTAAAAAAAAACAAAAAAAAACAAAAAAACAAAAAAAACCCTTAGTTTACCTGTCTGTGTTTCTAATTTTAAAACTTTCAGTAATCCATCCTCTCCACCACAAGCTATGAAACCTTGATCCTTATTCCAGGAAATACATCTTAACCGAACATTACCAGGAATGGCAATCTGAAAAGTAAATATTTTATATCTCTACACGGTTGTAAGAATCATGCTTTATTTTAAAATACTCTATTTGAACACCTCAAAGACACCTATATGATAGCACAATAAACTTATTTCTTACCAACAGATCAGTACATGCAAAAAGAGACAGCAGACAACTAGAATTACAAGCACTAGTGAAACTATGCAACAGAACACTTGAGAAAAGGGAGATCTAACACATGCTGTAGGTAATAACAACATAACATTTTCAAAGGTGCACAGAGAAGGTGCCATGAGCAACATCACAGGTGAGAGGGACTGCACAGCACACAGGGCATTGCCACGAGCTGCTCTCCACCTGCAGAGCTCTATGTCCAAACTCTCCCTGGCAGCAGTTGCTTAGCAGACAGCTGAAGCCCAAAGAATCCCCAAACTCTGGCCGAGAGGGAGCAGGCAGGACGGAGCAGGGCAGCGCTCTGGGCAGGAAACAAGCCCGCGGCCGCATCCCCGGCGCCAGCAGAGCCACAGAGGCCGCAGGCAGCGGGAGGGAGCCCCGAGGGTCCCTCAGCGCCCCGAGGCCCCCGCGCTCCCCATCCCCAGGGGGTTCCGTCTGCCCTCCCCGCCGCCCCGACCTTCCGTCCGCGCCCCAGGAGCACCTTCTTGCACAGGTAGATGAACATCCCGGCGGGGCGGGCGAGGGCCGGCGGGCCAGGCGCCTCCTGTCCGCTCACCGCGTCTCCCTGGCAACGGCCGCCGGAAGCGCGCGCCGCTGGCCTCGCTTCCGGGAGCGGGAGAAGGAAGACGCGCGGCCGCCTCGCGCCGAGCACCGGCGCTCCCCGCCCCCCTTGGGGGCGGAGCCAATGGCTGGCCCCGCCCCCCAGGGGCGCAGGCTGAGGGCGCGCTGCCGTTGGGCGCCATCTCGGGCGGTGGCCGCCCCTGCAGCTGCGGGTTGTTTGTGCGCAGTCAGTGTAACCGGCGTCAATGCAGCCTCAGAGTTGCCGTCGACGTTACTGTTCGCTGAGGGGACGGGTGGCTGCGGGCGGGGCGGCGGGCGCCCTTCCTGCTGCTCCCTCAGGAGGTGCCGCCCGCACCCACCGCCGGGTCTGGTCGGTCGGTAGCTCCCCCCCACTGAGGAGAATGCCTTGGTTCGGTGGGTTGGAGAGGGTAAGGCAGCTGCGTGGCTTGAGCGGCGCGGGGGGCAGGGGGAAGGGTGATGCCTGGCTTTGTGCTCACACGGGGGGTGCGGGGGGCCTCGGGAGCAGCCTGGCTCTGAAGCACTGGTTCCAAGCCAGGTTTGACCCAGCTTCAAAACAAGTATTTTCCACACCAAAGCTGTTTTGTAGCTGATCGACGAAGAAGGGAAACATGGGAGATAAGAAGAAGGTGGTCTGTACTGTGTTTCTTGTATCCTCCTCTACAAACTCGCTTGCTTGACGTGGGAGAAGTGCCATGTCTCCCAGGACATCCCCCTCACTTTCACAGCGGCCAAGCACTCCACATTGCAGTTATCAACAACACAAACACTGAAATATAAACAATTTGTTCAAATGAGGATTGCGACAAAGCCAAGTTCTCAAACCTGTGTCTCATCAAGTTTAGTGCTGTTCCCCTCTTCTGAGAGAGGATATCTGGAAATGTAGAGAAATTGAATCCATCATGGGTTTTGGTCACATCATTTTATTGAAGTTACATGAACATGCAACAGTGAGGAGCACTGGGCACCCGGCTTTTTTGACTGATGCCAACTTAGATGCACATACCTAAGACATAACTATAAAGCAAATCTGGCTGAACCCCTGTAAGCATTTTAGAGCTGAATAAGATAGCTAAAGGTAACTTAGAAATGCCTGTGGTCAGGCAGTTGGAGTAGATGATCATTGTAAGTCCCTTCCATTCTATTCAGAATAAAAATAATTTTTAAATACTGTACAAAAGACCAAGTTTAATTCTTTTCCTAACAGGCTTCTACATTAAAGTTCTACTGCCTCAATAACTAAAGCAATAGAATTACTCATTTCATATCAACAAATATATATATATTTAAAATGCTCAGTCAATGGGACATGCTGGTACGTCCTATTTTAAAGAAATTACTTATATCACTTTAGAATTTTCCCTGGTGCTCTCAGACACAAACTGAGACAAGGTAATTGCTCAGAGGAAACAAAGGTAATACTATCATTTGTAATATAAAATGGAGTTATGAATGCTAATCCATGAAACAAAACCTGCACAACTGACAGCTTGCAAGAAACATCTGGACTCCGGGTCAATTATCCACTATCATATAAAATGATACATCTCATCTGACAACTGGCTTTAGTGTAAACGGGACTGATGTCATCCACTCCCAATTGCCAAGAAGTTGAAAAATTGTGCATTAGATTTATGACTTGTTTATTCTTATCAATTACAGAGGCCGAGGCATACTTCTGATCCTATAAATCCTTGTGTAATACCCATGTCTAAGCAGAGGACATGAAAGTAAGCAAAGTGCTGGATATAAAACTCCATGACTTACATTAAAAATACGCACACACAGCACTTTGAGGAACGAAGTGTAGCACAGCTAGGTTATCCCACACCAACTTTAATTGAACGACAGCAAATTAGTATCAGTGGGGAGACATCACAGAACATCAACCACAGACCAATCCAGCGGTCTTAGAGAGTTTAGAGTCTCATTTTTAGCTCTTGTTGAAGCTGTGTCCCATGTTCACCAGTGCTATTCAGTTTTATAGCCTAATTTAACATTACTGTGTAGACATACCTGTGCATTGAACACAATAACCAAAATTCTGTACACCGATTTTCCTTGCAATCGTTTGTATCTATTATATGCAAGGCATGAAGCAAGGACAGATGTTGTTACAATTTGTCCTTGACATACCAGCTACTGATGCAATGTTTTGTGTAATTATATTGCAAAGCTCTACAAAATAGGTTGGAATTTTCAATTCTTAAAAATGATAGCTTTGACTCCATCTTCAAATTATTTAAATACCGTTTTGAAGCACACAAAATGAGTTGATTCCTTTAACAATTACATTTTTTAATTGTTAGCTTATGTGTTTTATCCTATAAGTCCAACTGACACAAGCAGATTTAGTAAAGTCCATGATAAAAGGAATGACTAAGAACATAAGTAAATCTTGAAGGATAAAAACTTTAAATTGGAGGACGCCTTTTATCCTTCTGAGTGTTAAACAACATTATTAATACTTGAAATTTTTATTAAACCTTTCATCTATGTTAACAAGGACTTGTAGGTTTTAAAATCAAACTTTTTTTTTTTCCAACTATGAGACTTGGGGATAATATCCTATTTAATTCTGTGGATTTCTTCCATTTATGCCTCCTTTGAGGTTTTGTTTCCTTGTTTTTGTTAAATCCTTTTATAACACACAACCTTTACGTTGTATACAAAAAAACTTCCAATGTCAGTGTGCATATCATACTTTATTTTATTAAAATAAGTTACAAGACCCCCAACTTACTTTCCCATTTAATGGACAGAAGACATAGGCACATTTTTTACTCTGCAGTGCCATTTCACAGTTTTATATGATGTGATATACTGTATCCATTTTTTTTTTTTCAGTATTTACTTTTAAATAAGAGAATAAAAACGCAGTTACTGCAGAAAAGCAATACCTGCTGTACTTCTTGTAGTATAAACTGAATCACAGCAGGTATACATAGCTTTATGGTTATAAAGTGACTACACATGAAGATCCTCAGGGTCACTGTATTTTTAAAACTGTCTTCCTGAAGTCTTCTTGACATTTGTCAATAATAACAAACCAACTGCTGTTTTGTAAGCTGTGCAACAAAATAAAGCTTGCTGAACACAATAAAAAGGATTGATTCTGATAGATTATTTTAATAATAAGTAGAATGGTAGCTCAGACAACCTGCTGTCTGCCTTGATATGCCTGCAGCTTCTCAGACACTTCATCTAGTGGTCAGTTGTTAAGGCCAATAAAATAGCTGGCTATAACTTTTGTTTTATTTATAACGTTTCTCAATGCAGCATTTTCAACAAACAATCTGTTTTCTAGATGAGGTCAATACATGCTTGAACCAGAGTTTTCAAAACATTTTGGAGATCTGTCAAGGTCTGACAACTTCCCAAATGATCTCAGCAACCCTAATTTCTTAGAAGGAGTTGGACCAAGTGACATTCAGGGCTGAAGAGCATCAGGTGATTGTCTCCACTGCTTTTTCCAGGTTGTCATGAAAGGATGCTAGGGATACAAATTGCACATGAATAAATGGCTTTGAAAGAAAGCCTCAGTTCTCTCTAATAAAACATATTCCTGCCTTGAAACCAGCACATTTTCTTGGTTAACATTAGCTCTTTCGGGCAGAAAGATTGTTCTCTGAAGGACGTGCTACTATTGAGATGACATTACAGGTTTTATTATCTTGGTGTTCAGTTTTAACTGCTTAGATTCCCTGGAATTACAATCCAAGGAAAATCAGAGTCTTCTCTTCACCTTTCCCAAGCAGATAAACTGAACTCCAGGCACACTGCAAGAAGAGGGATTTGACCTTATAAAAATAACTCTGAATTTATTCAAAAATTGGGAAGGTCTTGTGTCCTTAGAAGAAGTTTTCATTTAGCTTTCAGAAACTTTGGTGAACTAAAAAATGCATTTATCTGTATAAATGATGAGTTAACATATAAAATTTACTAGTCTCCTGCTTTGGTCTCCTCTAATTAATTCTAAATACCCTGCTCTTCCTTGATTTTGAAGTCCCTGGGATCAGGATGACAACCCTAGGCATAGTGCTCCCCTAAATCAATTCCTATTTGAACAAGAGCACCCTTTACAGAAAAAAAGCATGCAGTGTTAAAAATTGCTATTGATGAAAATCTTGGTAAATTGTCACAGTGTTCAACCACACTTAGTTCTAAAAATTGTGCCTTATGACAAAATGCAGCTTGCCCAAATTTAATTTCCAGTTATTAGTTCCTGCCATGCCATCTGAGGGCATTTATTCCAGCATTCAGGTTTGCTGTGGTACCACACAGTTCATCATTTTGTCTTTTTTCTATCTGCCCCCCCCTTTTTCTTTCTCCCACATCTTTGTGAACTCTCTAATCTGGGGGCTGACCACATATTTCTTCACTGCTGCAGGCACCCAAGGCAGAAAATGAAGCTGGCAAATTCCAGCACAGCAGAGCTGGCACCCACCAACCTGCACCCTGGATGTCCTGTGGACCCAAGGCTTGCCTAGTGCCTCCAGCCTCAGCCCCCCGCCTCGCAGCTCTCCTATTCTCGTGTATCCCAGCATCTGGACATTAATAGGCTAGCACATTTTCACAGAAAAGAAGAAGGTGCATGAAAATTGCGTGGGATGGTGCCTGCCTGCGGAGGTGGGATGCAGAGGAATACTGCAGCTAATGGGAGTGTTGTCACAGTGCCTGTGAAGTTGTCTTGAAAATTCTGAGACATAACAGGAGGGCTCAGAACTGAGCGTTTGCTATAACACTAAAAGTAATCTGGATGAATTATGAATAGAGCAGTTCTTGGGGTTCAACATAGCATATATAATCTAGGGGATGTGGGCATATGCATTTTATCTGTATCTTGATACTAAAGCCTTACAATGAAATGTGAAAACATAGTGGTATTTGCAACAGCCAAGATTTTGCTCCATAGCATTTCTAAAATCACTATGAAAATACTTTCTGTTTTGAGGGATGTTCCTTCCCTGGCTTGTATCAAAACAGCTACCTCTAAAATACCAATGAAGATCTGAATGCAGAAGATCATGTAAGAAAAAGGATATATTTTGTGGACAGGGCTTCAAGGCGAGAGGTGACGGAG